CTTCTCCCCATTTTATTCCCAATCTTATCACATTTTCTCGCCTCTCCCTACCCTCCTCATATTCAATGTAAAACTAACTAGAACTATTACCCTTGATGGAGGCATTCCTCGTCCTCTTCCCCTTCTTCCTCTAGAGGTTCCCCTAGGAGATGAACGAGGACTGTATTGAGGGGACCCTCTGCTCCCTGAATACAATTCAAATTATTATTTAAAAAAATTGGAATTTGAAAACGACATTCAAGCAATCTTATTCGTAGTGATGTTTTTAAAAAGCAAATAGCTTAAAAATCAGCATAAAATGGGTCTTTGTCGACTGCATAATTGCTTAATGTTTATTGAGATATATAATGTTACAACTTGCACTCCACTGTATCTAAGGTTCAAAGAGAATATTAACAAAAATTATAGGAGATATAGGTAGGATGAAACATGAACAAAATCAGAATCGATCGGTTCTACTTGTTTTGGAAAAGCGAATTTTAAAAAAACCTTTGAAATTTGTCTGCCTTTTTAATTTTACAGAACAGTTAACAGAAAATTGTAAATATTATCATGACATTAATATAAGATCATATTTAAAAAAAATCAATCGTTAAAATATAATTTGACGATCCACATCCTTAACGATAGTTTTTGCCACAAACTCAGATTTGTATATCCCTGTATTTAAGCTACCCGATGTCAAATAGATCTTAAAAAATTTCAAATTATGAATTCTGTTAGATTAAATAATCTAAGTTTAAAAATAACCGGTGTACACCATCAGGTTGCAAAGATAACGAGATCCGACAATTTGGGTTTGTGACAAAGACTCATTTTGTTAGTAAATACAACCTGAAGAGCCTTGTTTAAGACGAGGAGAAGCTCCGGAGAGAAAAGGGTTTCCTAGTCCTGCTCCAGGTCCTACTCCACTAGACTCTGAAGGGGACCCTGAGATTATAAGAAATATCCGAGTTTAGAAACCCCGCTTGTAAAATTCGAAGAATCTGAAGTTATAATTCTCAAACCGTTAACTCTAATGCTATGCTTTTTCTTCTTCTTCTTGCCCTTTTTTCTTCATAGCTCAATCAATTTTTAATGGACAAAAAAAGGCTTAACCAAATCTCTTAACTAGGAGTTCTAAATTGGTTTGTGCATATCTTAAGAACATGGAAAGCCCATTTCATTCAGAGGAATTACTTATTCAGTCCAAAGTTAAAGGCTTTTTCATAGAATTACGTGGGGGCTTAAAGGAACTGATAACTTGCATTCTTTCCATGTATATCTGTGCAACTAGATGGTGTAAACATTGACTATAATATGATTTTGGAGAACTTTTATTAAGCTAAATAAAAAGTATACAAGATAAGGCTGCAATAAGGATTAGAAAATTACACCATAAAGAGAGTAATCAGTTCTCTTCTATTGTATCTAATTTGTCTGAAACTGCATGATAAATGCGTGTAATAAATACCGTGGCAGATCCCATAGTTACACCAAGATAAATTACATTGTAAATTGTCTATAAATCTAAATGCTCTTATCAGAAACTACGCAAATCTTGCGATTAACCTAACCTAACTACATCTGTAAATAACTACGTCAAACCTGTATTGTTATTGGCTTAAACTACGTTGGTATATAACGAAAACTCGTAACTACGTCTATTAATTATTAAACTTAATCTGTAACCTAGAATCAAAATACATTCAGTTGGAATTAGACGTCATGCTTTGATTATGGTGTGAGAGTAATTACTTCTTGGTTAGCAAATAATAAGCGATCTGAATCACCTACTTCAAAGATAGATATAGATTGGGAACTGGTTCAGATAAAATTGTGTCCAGATTGACATTGATAGTGAAGCATTGGTACAGATAAATTGAGTCTGGATTGACATTGATAGTAAATCATTGGTACAGATAAATCATCTCCGGATTTACATTGATAGTGAAGAATTGGTACAGATAAATTGTGTCCGGATTGGCATTGATAGCGAAGCATTGGTACAGATAAATTGTGTCCGGATTTACATTGATAGTGAAGCATTGGTACAGATAAATCGTGTCCGGATTGATATTGATAGTAAAGCATTGGTACAGATAAATTGTGTCCGGATTTACATTGATAGTGAAGCATTGGTACACATAAATCATGTCCGGATTTACATTGATAGAGAAGCATTGGTAAATATAAATTGTATCCGGATTGATATTGATAAAAAAAGCATTGGTGCAGATAAATTGTGTTTGCGAAGCATCAGTACTGATAAATCGTGTTCGGATTGACATTTATAGTGAAGCATTGGTACAGATAAATTGAGTCTGGATTGATATAGATAGTAAATCATTGGTACTATTAAATCATGTTCGGATTGACATTGACAGTGAAGCATTGGTAAACATAAATCATATCCAGATTGACATTAATAGTAAAGCATTTGTGCAGATAAATCGTGTTTGCGAAGCATCAGTACTGATAAATCGTGTCCGGATTGACATTGATAGTGAAGCATTGATGCAGATATATCGTATCCGGATTGATATAGACAGGAAAGTGTTATTGAACTGAATAGTTCTTATACCTCATAGACCAACAAGAGGGATTGAGTTGTACCTAAATTGATATGGGTCTAAACGGATGTATTGCAGTGGGGCATTTACTACATGGGTAAATGAAAAAATATATTATAAATCATGGAGATAAATAGAGCCCCCTGTCTATAGAAGTGTAGTGATCTGATAAGGAAATACAATATAGTTCGTAATGAGATATTTAAATCAATTATATATGCATGACGTAATTGGTGTAAAATATGATACGAAATAAAAGTTCCAACACATTCTTTAGTGCCGAGAACATTAATAATAAAACAGTATAAAAAAGAATACATAAAACTACACCAATGTCTCTGTAAGTTAAGCACGGTAGTCTAGATATAACACCATTAATATCGAATACTTTGTCTGTGCACTAAAAATGAAGCATTCGAAAAAATATTATAAATATGAAGATAAATAAATAAACTAGCTTGGGAACCCAGCGTTGCCCAGGTTACTCATAGTTACTTCCGCCGTTTACCCGCACTTGGTCGATTTACAGGGAAACTAAATTTGTGCTATTAAGGTCTATCCACTCAACTTAGACTATCAAAAGAACATTCCCGTGGATCTCCCGAGATCCCCAATCAAAATTTTAAGCAAATCGTTCCAGGGGTTCATGAGTTATACATACAAACAAAGAAACAGACAAACAGAGATTTATATTTATATATGTCTACTAGTAACTGTTGTTACCTGTAAATCGTCCTGATGAAGTATCAGAGAACGGAGATATTACAGAACTACGGGGTGTAACTGTAGATGCAGATCCTGGGAAACATTTGGAACATAAGGAGAGATAAATAAAATCAGGGAAATTACATATTTAAAGAAGTTTAAAACTACTATATGAATTCCATAAACCCCCCCCCCCCCACTTCCCTTTATTTACATGCAATTTTAATCTGTAGCCAACACAGTATATCACAAACCATTTTAAAGCTAATCGCATGGTCATCTAATACGTCTAAAGCTTTATTCGAAAGTTTCCCTAGAAGGGTACATTTCGTGTAAGCTGTCCCGTTTTGCCTAGCATAGCATGCTTGCCTTAGCTCCTTGAAAGTTGGCCCGGTTCTTGAAATGAACCAAAGTCTATATGTGCGCGCATGTTATGGAATTTTAATTTCTTTTTTTTTATGGTTAACGAACAATATTTTTAGTAGAACATAATGGGAAGGGGAGGTGGCAGAAATCCTAAAACAAGGAAATTGCCTAAATATTCAAATATGGCAGTTTATAATCTAACTATTTAAAAACTTTACGTTAAAATGGAAGAGGAAACAATTTCATGCAAAATAGTATACATTTGTTAACACAAATTCGAAAATATAAGGAAGACGATTTTTCCGACTCAAATGCCGTAGCCTTTTCTCTAGATGTATGTATACTCAAGATCCATTTCCGCCATGAAGCCCACATGTAACCCCCGCTTCTTCTCCCCCCCCCCCCTTCTACAGATCCCAGCCTCGGCAGTCAGCTATAAACACTCAAGACATTCACAACTCCGTCTCAACCCTGGCTCCTCCATGATGATGATACAGATACTCAGCGCAATGCACCTGTTGATCTGCCCCACCAACATGAAGCTCTACATCACCCCCCATGACTCCTTCAGGCTGATGATGCAGATACTGAACTAACAGCAGGCGTGCTTATGCCTCTGATCTCCCTATTAACTTCTTGAGAAGCTTACGTAGGAAACTAAAACGGATCTGACCGAAGTTTCCGCTATCTCGAGTTGCATTGCCTTCGATCCATTGATAAGCCCTGTTGTCCCAGTTCCCGGATCTGCTCCACCAACATGAAGCTCTACAACACTTCCATGAAGCGCCATCTAATATCCAGCATTAATTCCTTTGTTAATTTCTAAATCAACCAATTTTAACTCCGCCTTAAATGCAAATATTTCAAAACACTCGTAAATAAATGTTAGAAATATCCATTTTAGATCTCTTTATTTTATTATAGTGACTTTTCAAGTCAACAACATTATTACTAATATTATTATTTTGTTTATTTTAATTATCTTAAAGATTACCTACCGAGATTTTCAGGTAGGGAGGGGGAAGGAGATATGTCTGCTCCTACTTTTTTATATTCTCTAAATATTCAAACATAATTTTTAATTATTTTTTGAAGAAAAAACTTTTTTATCTTTCATAATTATTAGAAATAACATTGTGCGTTAAAGTGAAACACTTGAAATTCAGTGGCATGACCAGAATAACAGTATTGATGTCTTCTTATTCTTCTTATACTCATTTATTCAATGGTCGCTAAGAGTTTTATTATTTTCAAATGATTTAAAAAATAAAATATTTTTAGACAATATTCATACGAGTTATGACAATTTGAAAATAAAAAATATTTAGAATCATGTCTCATTTGACAGAAAGAAGAGAAACACCAATTATTCTAAAGTTTTAGCATAATTCATTTTTCCAATCTCAATAGTCTCCATTGCGTTTTTTACAGTTTCTTAGTCCTTACTGGGAAATTATTCTAAAACTAGCAAAAATTATGATTCCTACCTTAATGATGCTGGCCTTTTATTTCGACCTTAAATAAAGATTATTATTTTCAAATAAACAAAGAATTAAAATTAAATTAAAATGTAAACAGAAAAAAAAAAATTAAATAGTTCTTTAAAAATTTTTTTTTTGTTTTTAGTAATTTATATGAGTCTGAACACAGAAGAGTAAAATGAAAAAATAAAAATAAATCAACTTTGAAAACCCTAATTAATTCTTAGTAAGTTAAATTATAATCAAAGTTTTTCGTTAAAAATAAAATTAATTTTGTTATGTAATAAACTAATTTTCCCATAAGTACAAAACTTTTTAGAATAAAGGAAAACTTTAATTCCATCGAATTTTATCGATCAAAGTTTTGTTAATAATATTTGTTGATTTTATCAAAATAAATGTCAATAGATCTGGACGTAATTAAAAAAATCTTCATTTTCAATATTTTTCGTCCCACATTTTAATTTTTTAAGTTTTAAATTTCTAGTTCCTATAGGCAAAACTTCCTAACGAAAACTTCTGAAAGTGCCGTTTTTACAGAAAACAAATTCAAATGGCACGGGCAGCCGTAGTACATTTGAGTTTCCGAGTCGGGTCAACCTTTCCGGTCCCAGTTTGTACTGTATCACCCGGACATTGGGTAAATAAAGCAGAGACTCAATAGGACTAGCCAGGGCAACAAGGTTGACACGGTCAGACTTTAGGTTTAATTTACTGTTACTAAAGGGTCAGATGTGCGTGAAGGTTTTAAATTGAATAAATATGTCTTGATTTCCTCACCTATGGATACCCTGCTCCAATCTGATCTTTCTGAAATTTGAATTAAGTAAATATTAGAAAATGTCAAATTTACGAAAACCCCCCTATTGTTTTAACCATTTTAACACAATGTTAGATATCGAAAGTAATTGAAATTATCTGATCCTCGAGTAAAAAATTTAATTGAAATTTTTTTTAATTTGTGGCAAAGGCTCAATTTTCCTTCGAACTTCTTTTTCTGTCTAGTTTTCATTGCTCTAATTAGCAAAAACAGGCTGGATATTTACGCTAAGATTGGTCAACAATCCCTTTAAGATCAGCTGAAATTACCTAACGGAGGTCGAATAACAAGTCGAGGACGTTGCCCAGGGGGGCCTCCAGGTTTAGGAGATGTTCCTGCAGACTGAGGTCCAGGGGGAGAGGAAAGGGCTCGAGGTTCAGCTCCAGGGGGAGTGGACAGGGCTCCAGGTTCAGCTCCAGGTCCTACTCTAGCTCCGGGTACTATTCTACCTTTACGGAGAGTTACAGGGGAATCTGTTGGGGTGGAGTATATACTGGACATTGGAGCATATTCACTTTAGATTTATCTGAAATATATTTATTTTGCTTCAGTTGGAAATGGAGAACGAGGAATATATAGAAATGTCAAAAATTTTCATTTACTACCATCTAATTATTTATAGAATATTGTTAAAATTCAAATTCAAAACATTGATATTTATTTTATATCCTGGGTATTCACAGATTCTAATCTTCAAAATAATATTTTAACTGATTTACCGAGCTGTTTTTGTTTCTGGGTTTATTTTGCATTTTTTACGTTAAGACAGGATGCACATTTTATTTAACAATTTGACAAATCTAAACAGTACAGTGAGACCCCAAAAGGAAGACAATTTTTTAGCAATCTCATGTGCATTTGACATTGCTAAACCACTATATTGGAAATTTCCTTTTTAAGTAAAATGAATAAATGCTATGTTTCATGTTTTTTGGACTATTTCATATTTGAATTAAAAGTTGATTTTCACAGTTCTTTCCCTATTCCACAGTTTTATTGGTCTAACTGTACAAAAGAGTGAACGTTAAGAAAATAAAAAGATTTCAACCAAAACAAATAGAAAATAAAAATAACTGAAAAGTTTAATCTAAGAAACCATTAAATTACTTTTAACTGTCCTTCCCTGCACTCCACTAGGTTCTTCACCGTCTTCACTTTTTCATTTAGTTTTTATATCTTTAAAAGAGTTCTTCCATCTAGCTTCAAATACACTTGTGTTTCCTACTTCAAAGGCTTGAAACGTGTAACAGCAGCGTGGCAAAATAAACAATATCAAATTAAATATTTGTCTATTGCAATATCAAATTATTTTTTAAACCTCGGAGATATATACAATAGGAAGAATATATTGCAGAAAATATATAAGTGTTTACATGATATCCAGACAGTAAACAATTTCTCAAGGGCACAGAGATGTCTATTATTATTTTTAATAAGATTTATTTTCACACACAAATATAAATTAATATTTTATGGTGTAGAGACTGTTTTTTTATAGTATTTATTTATTTTCAAACACAAAATACAAAATCATAATGTATGATGGTTCAGCTTAAAATAAAACACAAAAGAAAATTTATAATGAGCCAATTGAAAGTATAATTTCTTAATTTTGTTTGATCGTATTTGTTGAAGCAAAGTATACATATTGAAATCTCAACTAAATATACATTCATTGTGCATTTACAAGTAGATAATTAGTCAGCACTCAAATAATCAAAACATTTTCAGGAATGCATTCATTGAACTTATAAATACATATTGATTCAACAAAAGTAGCAATGTATTCTCGTTGACTGTAGTAAACTTTGACATCTACCATTAGCAAAGGGTGTGATCCCATACTCGTTGACTGAAGTAGACTTTGACATCCACCATTAGCAAAGGGTGTAAACCCATACTCGTTGACTGTAGTAGACGACATCTACCATTAGCAAAGGGTGTGATCCCATACTCGTTGACTGAAGTAGACTTTGACATCCACCATTAGCAAAGGGTGTAAACCCATACTCGTTGACTGTAGTAGACTTTGACATCTACCATTAGCAAAAGGTGTAAACCCAATCTAGTTGATTGTAGTAGACTTTGACATCTTCCATTAGAAAATATGTAAACCCATTCTCATTGACTATAGCAGACTTTGACATCTACCAATAGCAAAGGGTGTAAACCCATTCTCCCAAATCTATCTATATATATAATCAATCTGTATTTCGTCCTATCTTTAATCTTTATCTTGCCAAATCTGCATGATCTGTATCATGTCCTTTCTGTATTATCTGTATTGTGTTCTATCTGCTAAATCTAAATCATGTCATATCTGTAAAATCTGTATCATGTCCTTTTTATAAAATCTGTATCTTGTTCTATCTGTATAATCTATATCTATTCTCATCTGTATAACCTGTATTTTGTCCTATCTGTATTATGTCCATTCTGTATAATCTGTATCTTGTCCTATCTATATCATCTGTATTGTCCTTTCTGTAAAAACTGTAAAATGTCCTATCTGTATTTTGTCATATCTGTGTAATCTGTACCTTGTTCCTATCTGTATAATCTGTATCATGTCTTATCTGTTTAAGCTGTATCATATGCATTTTGTTCTATCTGGTAGAACTATGTATCCAGATTAACTAAATGTTGTGTAAGTGCTCTGGTAGAGCTATGTATCCGGATAAACTAAATGTTGTGTAATTGCTCTGGTATAGCTATGTATCCGGATAAACTAAATGTTGTGTAATTGCTCTGGTATAGCTATGTATCCGGATTAACTAAATGTTGTGTAAGTGCTCTGGTAGAACTATGTATCCGGATAAACTAAATGTTGTGTAAGTGCTCTGGTAGAGCTATGTATCCGGATTAACTAAATGTTGTGTAAGTGCTCTGGTATAGCTAGGTATCCGGATTAACTAAATGTTGTGTAAGTGCTCTGCTAGGTATCCGGATTAACTAAATGTTGTGTAAGTGCTCTGCTAGAGCTATGTATCCGGATTAACTAAATGTTGTGTAAGTGCTCTGGTATAGCTAGGTATCCGGATTAACTAAATGTTGTGTAAGTGCTCTGCTAGAGCTATGTATCCGGATTAACTAAATGTTGTGTAAGTGCTCTGGTAGAGCTATGTATCCGGAATAACTAAATGTTGTGTAAGTGCTCTGCTAGAGCTACTGGAACTGACCTTGTTATACTATATTGATACAGATGTGAATACACTTGTTTGAATAAAAGCTTTGCATTATTTTATCATCAGCCATACAGACATGATCAATGTTTAGATATTTACTTCAGATTCAGGTCATCATCATGTACAGAGTTCTCCCATAAAGATAATACTTTAATGACGACGTTGATGAAAGGTGTGTTTGATTCACAACAGTACCCTTTTCACCTTGACTGACAAGAACTATGGTTTTATCCTTCCAGATTTCTCTACGGAAAAGCTTGTTATAGTTTTACCACATGCTGTTTTTTATTTAAAAAATATTTCAACAGTTGCAGAGAATAAATATTTTCTTTTAAATATTAATGAACCACGTTGGACGAAAAAATATTTGGAAAATTATATGCCTTTAGCGTACACTCCAGTTTTTAAGATGTAATTTAGAAACCATTTTGATTCCTGTAGTAAATGTATTACAATGCTAATGAATGATCTGACGAATCTGACGAGCGAGGGACGGCACACCACACAATATTTCGTCCTGACCACAAATGACGTCACAACACACCATTACTTCGTCCGGCCACACCTTTTCGTCTGTCATTGTTTAATTCTTTTTTTTTAAAGTATTAATTAAAATCTTTTTTTCACAATCCCTTAATCAAATTAAAACCTATAGCCATGTTCCCAACTTTAAAAATGTTAATTTTTGTTGTAGATCCTAAAAATCCCAGCTCCCTATCAACAAAAAGTTGCAAATTAGGAGTAAAATATGAAAACATCATTTCCGGACAAAAAATAGGTGAGGCATACATATTTTCCGTTCTTTGCTAATATCCTTTAATTTTTCAGAAAAAAATGTATTTTAAACAAAATCAAACCATATTGAATAACATGGCGATGCCTAAATTTGAATAAAAAGTTATAAAGCATAAGAAATACATTTTAAAACACAGGAGCAATGACCAGACGAAGAAATTTGTGGTCGGAAGAAATTATGGTGAGTTGTGGCGTCATTGGTGGTGCGGACACAAAAATGGTGTGGTCACGCTCACGTGACAGTTTCCATATGGATTCTGGATTCTGGAACCATGAATTTGAGAAATAATAGCATAATCTTAAACTTAATCATAAAATCTACCAATCGGTGGAAACTTTCGCATTTTTAATCTGTATTTACAGAACATACTTAGTCGTTTTTCTTTCCACCCTGGCGGATAATTCGGACACGATCACTTTTTTTATTTTTATAGTTTTTTTTTTCTCTTTGTGAATTTCACTAACATTCCCAAAATTTAACTTAATCCTATAATTCAAAAATTTAACTTAATCCTAAAATTCAGAAATTTAACTTAATCCTATAATTCAGAAATTTAACTTAATCCTATAATTCAAAAATTTAACTTAATCCTAAAATTCAAAAATTTAACTTAATCCTATAATTCAAAAATTTAACTTAATCCTATAATTCAAAAGTTAACGCTGTGAATATCGTACCCATAAGTTTTCACCCCTGTTCAGTGGTCACAAAAGAAGAACTAAACACAAGGCAAGAAGTTTCAATTTATCCTGAAAATCTTAATATTTACGGAGTTTCCGGTCGTCTCATACTGTCTCATCCTTTGTGGGTAACCCCATACTAGTTGTAGGTTTTATTAAATAAGACCACAATCATTCCATAATTTTCTGGTTACCACTGTACAGTGGACAGTGTACAGTGTACATAACAGAGTAAACGAGAATTAATCCTCTAAAGGTATATCAATAAATTAATAATAAATAAATAATAAATAATTAATAATTAAATATTTAAGTTTATTAAAAATATAAAACTTCTTCATATAAATACATACCAGAAAACTCACAATCAGTTTTGTCAATTAATTAAAAATCCCATTTTCGTGAGGTCACGGTATCAAATAAATAAATACAGTTTTAGGGGACATATTATAGATGTAGGCTAGTAAATTCATCTTACTGCTATGTTTTAATTATTGAAAGAGTTAAGAATTGCTTTCTAAATCTATTTTAACGAAATTATATTGCAATTTGAATATTTACAATTTGTGATGATTTAACCCTGAACTACAACTAAACTGCAGGACCCAAATAAACATGGGAATTCAGTGAATAATTCGATATCGTCTTTTTTAAATAATTTTTTGTTATAGTAAAGTGATACCTACTGAGAAAGCTGTAATCCGTAAGATTTTCGTCTGCTATGTTTCCAATTTGTTTGTTTATGTGTTGACTGCATACGGTTTTAGTTAGTAAACAAGAAAATTACAGTATAAAAACAGAGTAAACTTGTCCGTCTTCACTGTTCATCTTGCAAAGACATTATAGACACCTTTTTACAGCCAGTTACTGTTTTCATAAAATAAACTCCATCAGACATAATGATATTATGACTTTTGAAATTAGGTATAACAATGGTAATTCTTAACATAAACTATATCGAATTCGTCACTGAATTCCCATGTTTATTGGGACACATTGATGTAAACTACTATTTTGTAAAAATATTGCTCTTTGAAGGAGTATTGTTTATGATACAATCCTCATAATGGCTATAAATGTAAATACAGACTATTATTGGACAAGTGATGTTTATTTCAACAGGGGTAAATATTTTCCAAAACCTAATTACCTCACTTTCTAAAAATGTACACAATTATCAAAATGTTCTGTGCATCAAGAGGGTGAAATGATAAGCTTAAGTTTCATTGCAGAGACGGTTCTTTTCTCTTCCGAGGGTTCAACCTTTAACGTACAGAGCGTCCCATATCATACAGGATTATCTCCAATCTTTAACACCAAAATAAACCCTTAATACTCGAAAAACTCATCATTTTCCGCAAGAAAATTCTTATATAAGCCTTATGTTATTTTTCAAAATGATTCATTCTAATGATATTTTCTAATTAGTTCCGAAAATCGTAATTTAGACCCGTTCTCGGTCTAATATGATGTGGGACACCCTGTAGTTTACCTTGCTTTTCTTTTAGAGGTCAAGGGTTCTCTGGAATACAAGAAATGAACAACTTACTCTGATTTAAGGAGCTAAACAGTTCAATTAAAAAATGTTATGCAATTGATTGCCATGCAAACGTTTCAACTTAAGCTTGAAGTATCATTTTTTAAGGAAAATGTGAATAGTTTTGTAGAATATCTAAATACCCCTGTTCCAATGTTTTCAGATAAAAAACTGCATTCCTTCGGATAGTTGATAAAATTGACTGGAAAATAAGACCAGTAGAAAACCTTCGCTTGCATTCTTTAGTTCATAGTTTGCCGAATCTCAAACTCAGGTTTTAAAACATTTCATTTTTTAAATTATCACATTTATAGTTTGTGTTGTTGTACTCCTCCAACAATGACAAAATAAAGTGAATGTTCAGATATTTGACCATCAGGGGGAGATATCAAGAGTATGATATTTTGTAATGCAAAAATATCTGAGCAGACCCTTAATTCAAAAACTGGCTTTTTAAGTTGCAAACAATTTTCAAATTTTTTATAATTCGTAACATTTTTATAAACACTATTTTTTTTAGTATTATGCAATTAGAATAGTCAATTATTTTTGCTCATTTTCACTGCACGGGATCTGCTTATCACTGGACTGTTGATATTATTACTGAATCTAAAAACATATTAAACACGGAGCTCAAATTACTTTGATTGTTTGCATCACAACCCAGAACATTGGATAGACGATCGCGCAAAAATAAAAATTTAGTTTCCAATACTTTCATATTCTTAAACTGGCCGATAAATTTTTAAATAAAGGGTAAAATATAACGGAAAAAAATATATTGCTTTTTTAAGAAGGAAATCGAAAAGTAAAATAAAAAAATTTGGACTTTTGCAACTAGGATTTAACAAAAATATTTTTTTAAGAATCAAGAATAAATTAAATCAACGCTCCTAATAAATCCACGATCTATGTACATTTACAAAAATCCATCTCGAAAAATGTATGCTTTGCGAATGAAGTAGTAAGAGCATTTAAATGCTTATTTATGTGATTTTTAACATAATCGATATTGTATTTTGGATCCTGTTTAAACAAATGCACTATTCTACGGAACAATTCAGGATTTAAATAAAGAAATTGGGATTTAAAAAAATGAAAGAGTAAGGCCACAACCAGTCTTCACCCTTTGTCTTGATTTCCGTCTTTTCTTTGGGTCAAATGAAATGTCTCCAGACTTTGTGATAGAATTAGGAATTTTCCGACGTTCAGTTAAAAACTAAGCCATCTTAGGCTCTTTTTGCATTAAAATGAGTCTAATTCTATTCAAGTTATTTATACTTATTGCATGAGTATAAAAGGGTTAACTGCTTTACAAGATACAAGGAGAGCTTATTCGATATTGTCAAACGGTCGCAATGCTTAATTTGTCAGGGTGAAAAGATTGATTGATTAGCTTAAGTACTCATTGATTGATTACGTTTACCTACAAATGGGTTCAATGATAAATATCAGCGGTTGGAACCTCATTGATCAATTGGCGCCAGGTCTAAAAAGATTCATCAAAAATTAACCACTAGATGTCTCCCTGATGAAATAGAATTCATAGGTATATTTTCCCAGGCTGTTAGTTTCAACGTTTGGAAAAACAAAAACTTAAGGCAATCAATAAATAAAATTTTAAAGTAATCGACTATATGCAAAATGCAAAATGGATTTTTCCTAACATATTGTGATTGCCATGGGACATGGATATGGCGAAGGAGAATGTTTTAAACTTAGAAATGCAATGGATCAAAGGTTGAAAGTGATTCAGAAGTTGTTCAGTAGAAATCTAGAATTGTGTTTGTTAAAGGGTTAAAGGTTGCTGCGAAGTGATGGGGGAGTGCTGATAAATGTTAAATGGCCGGAGGGAGGTTGGAGTGCAGAATGCTGATAACTGGTTAGTGGCCGTAGGAAGGTTGGAGTGCTAAATGCTGAAACTGGTTAAAGACTGGAGAGAGGTTGGAGTGCTGAACGATGTTAACTGGTTAGAAGCCGGAGGGAGGTTGGATCCTCAATGATGTTTGTTAATTGGTTATTAGTGGCCGCTGGGAGGTAGGAGTGCTAAATGCTGATAACTGTTCAACAACTTGAGGGAGGTTGGAGTGTTGAATGATGATAGCTGGGTAGTCGGTGGAGGGAGGTTGGAGTGCTAAATGCTGATAACTGGTTAGAGCAGTGAGTCTAATCCAGCAAAGGATTGCTGAGTTGTCTGTGATGGAACATTTGTACCCAGGATCGTCTATAAAGATAAAACTCAATTAAAATCATAACATGTCTTTTTAAAATTTCGGAATTTCGGAAAAATAGAAAAAAGGTTTAAATTTTTGAGTTTAACCTTTTAGGAAGATAATCTTTACACAATAAGTAATGATCATGATGTTTATATATTTTTAACCGAAATTTCATAAAAAAAAAGACTGCGAATCAACGGATTTACGAATTGATTTAAATCACGGATAGAAATACTGGAACAATCCTATTTAAAAGTAGGATATACCTGTGTTTGAGGAATGGTAGGACGAGGGGCTGACATTGAGTTCATGGGTACACTGCTCGTCTTCTTCTTATCCTTATCCAGGCTGAAGTTCAACAAAGAATTGTTTAAGTTCCCTAGATAAGAGAATTTATGAGATATCCTTAAATTAATATTGAAAAAATAGCTGGAAATATAAGAAAAAATAAGCTTGAAGGGACTTTGTGTGAGGTCCTAATTCAGTTAATTTCAATCTGATCTATTACTTTTTGCAATAAAAACATTTAACATTGAACTCGGTTACCTCACATTGTGCTTCAAATCGACCCCAAAAAGGTCAACCTCGTTTGACTTTGAAAATTTCTTTGGTCATGACTCGTATAATGGTTTAGTGGGTTAGAATCCCATTTCACATAAATCTGAACACACATGGAGGACCCAAAAAATGCCCCCAAATCATGCAAAAATAATTGTTAGATTAAAAAAGTTTACTTTAATGACCCCCCCCCCCAAAAAAAAAAATGCCAAAAATAATTAAGTCTTTAAATTATGGGTTTTTTGTGTAAGTTGGCGATATATAAATATCTATTCCGTAACGGGACAATAGATTGTTTTATTGCCAATGATATAAATAGTAATAAACTTTAACGAAATATAAAGGAGAGAAAAATAGTAATATACAATTGAAAGTTGAAATAAAAGATAAACATTGCTATAAGGAATAAAATAAATAGGAGAATTAAGAAGGAAATAAAAAAGGTGAATTTTGAGATTTCAAAGAACAAATTAAAAGTCAAAGTAAGATTGAAAGAAAGAAGGAAGCCATAATTGAGAATAATAAAATACACACAATGATTCTTACAATATAGAACTTTTAAATCTATATTATCATAATTTTTTACTCAGTGGTCATCTCATTTCTTCTTTTCTTTTATCTATTTATCCTTTTTACCGCCCACTTATTTATGTCTTTCATTTTTTTCTTTAATTTAAACGTTTTCTAAATATTTTTCCTTTTTTATAACTTGACCTATTTCATATTCATATCTCTGATACATTTTATTCATACACCTTCCCGATATATACTTTGTTCTAAATACAAATCTTTCTTTTCTATGATAATCTTTCTAACTTCTCCTATTAGCTCCTTTATCTATTGTATTATTACGTTATTCAAAATATATTTATCACTTCACATTTAACTTTATTATTGCATAATCCTCCATGTTTTCTCTGGTCAAATTTAGATTTTAAAATAAATTAATAAAAATCGGCAATAACTTTATTTTTTTATATACTTATTGTAAATTGAATTTCGATGACCACCATTACTTTTAGCATGTAGAAATGCTGGGTCGTAGAAATAACATTTTTTGATTAAATACACATTTTGTATACTTTTGGCCATTTTTATATTTCAAGCATTATTGGGAAGTGTGTTCAGATTTTTGTGAAATCAGATTCTGATCACCATAAACATCTTAGAAAGAAAATTTTAAGTCACACGAGGTCGACTTTTTGGGTCGATTTAGAGCACAGTGCTGAACAATTCGAGTTTAGCCTTTACCCCTTTTCAATTTCACAAAAATATTTATAAGTTTTTAAAAATAACTTAAGTTTTAATTTTTAATTCCAAAAAGTTGTCCTGTTTTACCTAGATCCTGCCATGTACTACCAACATGAACACTATTCCCATTCATCTGCTGACCGTTTGGTTGTTTAGGGGCTGACAAGGCACTGCTGGCAGGCTGCAGAGGTAAAGAAGATGGACCTACTCCACTCATCATTCCAAACCCAGGCATGCCCATCACTGATTGTCCCATTGCTGGCTGTCCCATAAATTGCCCACTCATTACAGGTTGGGACACACCCATTAGCTGCGGTGCACCCATCGGAGGAAAAGAAGGTGTGGCAAAGTCCAGCCCACCTAGTAGATCCATTGACGAGGCTGGGTTAGTTGGGTTAGCTTGAGTTGGGACGGATGAAAATGTTTGAGCTAAAGGTTGAACTGGAAGAGAAGGAACTGGGGCAGGAAGATCAACTCCTGAGAAAAGATCAAGTCCTGCAGAGCTTGGTTGAGTAGTATTAAATCCACCAAACAAATCTTCTCCTACCTCCTGCTTAACATTGGATTCCTGAGCCTCAAAGGCGGAGGAAAAATCGGCAAATCCGCCGTTAGAATCATTCTGATTGCTAGAAAATGAGTCACCATCTAAGGCGTCTTGAATAGGTGCATAATCGCTGGCTCTAGGATCAAAATCGTCAATTTCATGATCTGGTTGAGTTGGTTTAGGTCCACTTTCAGAGAAAAATAAATCCACCATTTTGTCGTTTTTTCCCGCATTTACTGAACGCTGCTGATTTGTTTCCTCGTGGGTTTTAGCTGCAAAGACTGCAGCTGCTCCTAGATCAACCTTCTTTATCGGTCTCCCGGATTTTCCAGTTTTAGCGCTTGTCGATTTAAAATCTGAAGTTGACCCCCCGCTGGGTTTACTAGGTAGAGATGATCTAATCTTAGAAAAATCATCTTCATCTTTAAAGTCTGATGCTCCGGGTGCTGATTTCTCACTCGTTTTGTCTTCGTCGTCGCTATCATATTTTCTCCCTAAATGTAGATAAATAAAAAATTTATTTTAAATTATGGATGAAGGTTCTTTAAAACAACTGGTGTGGATTAATCATGATTTTACCTGACGAAGATCCAAAGTTTCCTCCAGTAGTTCCTTTCCAATCAGATTCCCAGCCTCCCCCTCCACCTCCAGACCTGAACAGTAATAATTAATAATTTAAAGTTTGTCACTAATTATACTATACTTTCTCCCGTACGTGGATGAAAGTTACGATAGAAAGCTGCGAGTGATGTGGATTGTGGAAGGGGATAGGGTCGCGTAAGGATATTGGGTTCACTACCGGTGTCTGGGGCAGATACCGGTGGAGGATTTATGGGGACTGAGTCTGTCCCGGATAGAAAACTATGGACCCTAATAATGTTCTGCATCCCCCCCCCTGGACAAATTCCAATCTACCAAATAAATAATATCAAGCAAATCGAATACTTCCAAGATCTGACAAGATGGAATCAGAAGAGAAGAAAACCAGGAGCCATGTGTCAAATCATAAACGGTTAGGATTCAAAGATTGAAAACGTAAAGAAAATATTTTTACCTGAATCCCATAGAATCACTTGACATTCCAACATACTTGTCCTTGTTCTTCTTCGCTTTCTTTCTATCCTCACGTAGCCTCTCATCATCCTACAGTAGAACATATTGATGGTATATTAGGACGGTTCAAGCGTATTGGCGGTTGGGTTAATTAAGTCAAGGATAAATACCATAGATTTCTTTATATTTTTTTTCTGATATAGGTTTTCTAATATGAGATATCCGATTCTGGGTTTTCTGATAGTGTTTTTTATATTGTGTATATTCATATTTAGTTTTCTAATAGTATTTTTTTTTATGTTGGGTTTCCGATATTGGGTTTCTCATTTTGAATTTTCTGATCTTGGGTTTTCTGATATTGTGATTTTTGATAAATAGTCTAGATTTCTTTAAATTGTTTTCTTCTACTATGGGTTTCTGATAATATTGGTTTCTGATATTGGATTTTTTTATGTCGATTTTTCTGATATTAGAGTTTCTGATATTGGGGTTTCAAATATGGTTTAACAAAAATATATGGAATGCATGAAATACCTGTATAAAGTCCAGCATATCTGTAACCTTGTGTCTGATGTTTACACCCTGATCCTTCCCCATCTCATCAACAAAAGTATAGTTTTCTAGAGACCTGAAAATAATATATTTTTCAATAAATTCATACTTTTTCACTTATTTCTTTTGATTATTGGAAAAAAATAGATTTTCAGATGTTGTTTCAATGACAGAAAAAGGGAAGACTAAATCGATAACATTTTTATTAAGTTAAAAAAAGTATATAAGTAACAAATTGTGATGTATACTGAAGATGATTTTTGCTTTTCAGAGAGAAAAATTTTTTATATTCAATTAAGATGTTTATTATTTTCAGTGGCAAAAAAATATTCACTTTATTTTTGTTATTTGAAAAAATAGGATTAAAAAATCGTGGCGTAAACCTAAGATCGTATAGATGTTCTCTGGCTGAAGTTACAACACGCTCCGATCCATTCTTTAGTAAATAATCCAGCAGCAGTAGAGATTTATACACTCGCCTCCAATTCTGAAATTAAAATTAGTTTTTAACAAACTATATATAATATATATATTCCTGTATTGAAACCTTAAACCTGTTGTTTACTTATATAACAGTTGTATAAATAGATTCCCATTCATTGATTTACAACTACTTCTGTTTGCATTGATTGAAGTAACATCCTTTAAATATATGTGTACACATAAAAAAACTAGCTTGGGAATCAACAGAGGCGTAGTCATGAGGGGGCTATGGGGGCTAAGCCCCCCCCCCATAGACCAGGGAAATCTATGGATTTCAGTGGGTTTTCGGGAAAAAAAGGGTGCGGGAAAAAAGGGTGCTGAGTCCCCTCCCCCTGGAAAAAAAATGTTAAGCCCGACCCTTGACAAATTCCTAACTACGCCCCTGGGAACCAAGTTTTGAATTGCCTAGAACCAAAATTTCCCGTAAAAGTCAACATATTCAACTTAGAAGTCTTAAACAAAGCTAAGAACATTTCCGTGGTTCTACGAGTTTTCCAATCAAAATTTGAGGCCAATCTGTCAAAGGATTCAAGAGTTATGATCGAACCTACAAACAAGCAGAAAAACAGAGATGTTGTATGCACTCCTTTAGTAGATGATAATTGTCCAAATGATAAATCAAAAATTATGTTTATAAAATAGAATTTCATCTAAAAACTCTCTGACTGACGAAGCTAAATCCATCATAGAAAATATACGAGAAATTCACTTTGGTTTCATTTTAATAATTTTCCGTTTATTCAAGATAGAAATTAATGTTTTAACTTTTCTGAAACTTTTCGTCTAGATCTTGGTTCATCTATTTAAAAAAAATGTATATTCTTGTAGAAAAGTCAATTATTTTTAATCTTTTTTTTTCGCTAAATAGGGGGAAGAATAATTTTTATGGGGAAATAATAATATTTAAAAGCGGGAGGTGGAAAATTGATGTCTAATTTTGATTTTTTTTTGTAAATAAATTTGTTTGTTACCTGTGTATTGTCCGGCTAGCATGAGAATTAAAAATGAAATTAGTTTTGAAATTTCATAAAGAAAATACAGAAATAAAAGTTAAATATAAAGGTGCTTCTATACCTGTCTGTTCTCCTGGAGCATCCGTTTCCAAAGCATCCCCATAGCTTCAGGGAATGCTTCGTAGGCAAAGGTAAAATTTGATATTTCCTGCATCTGTTGGCCTAAACCAGATTTCACTTATTCACTGACATTATTAAAGGTTTTCTTTTCTTAACTCAAGGACAGGGGTGTATATTTTAAAGATTTTTTTTAAAGATCAGGATAGAAAAAAAGGACAAGCTTTTTAATCCTTTTTGATATGTTTTACCCAAAGGGGAAAAAATTATTACCAAAAGTGGGAAATAATTTTTAAAGAAACTATACACCCCTGCTCAAGAGATTGTTTACCAACTTCAAAGTACTTTAAACAGTCCAATTTTTGAGAAAAGGAACACACTGACACAACCAAGTATATTATACCGTTCAAAAATATTCGAGACCCAGAGGCAGAATGGTCAAAACGTTTAGCAAAAGATTTCTTTGCGTTTTTATTTAATGAAGTGAAATCGTTTTTATTTTTCGAAAATAGACTTACTAGCAGGGTATGACTATCACAGGATATCGAAGAGGAATTAAATTAATGCGTAGATCTTCATAATATGAGATCAAGGCTTGATCCCGAGATTTCAAGCTCTGTATTTACCTGATGGTCCCCAGGGATCATCATTAGTTGCCTCCCTGACCTTGGCTTCTGTCTCTGTATAGTTCATCACAATGTTGGTCGCTTTGTCAACCAGCTCTCTCACCTTAACAAACATCGTCGTAAAAATAGTTTTTAACACTCAGTTTCTTAAGGGTATTTTAATTAGGGGAAATGAAAAAATTCAAAAGGGGGTAAAACTTGTAAGTAAATGTCCAATTTTCATCCATCACCTCCCCCCCCCTTCCCACCCGGCCCCCTCATTCTACGAAAATCATTGAAATCCTGCCCCTTTGTCAAAAATTAAAATTCCTCTAATTATGCTGATTCTTTTCCCAAAGCTTGTTCATTGTTCAATGTTCAAACTTTGTCTTTTTGGAGAAAATATGACTTTTAATTTGGGAAAAATTACACCTCCATTATTGGTAAGTTAAACATTAGATAAAAATCATTTATTTGAAGCTGTTTTTCATCATTCCATTAGGTCTTGTTGGAGACCCCAATATTTTCATTGGAGACCCCCTTTTTTTCATTGGAGACCCCCAGATTTTCGTTGGAGACCCCCAGATTTTTATATGAGCCCCCCAGATCATCATTGATGACCTCATATTTTTGTTGGAGACCCTCATATTTTCGTTGAGAGTCCCCCATATTTTCATTGGAGACCCCCCAGATTCCCATTGACGACCCAATATTTTCGTTGGAGACCCCCGTATTAGGGGTCCCTAATAAAAATCTTAGGGTCTCCAACGAAAATCTGGACGTCTCCAACGAAAACCTAAGGGTCTGCAATGAAAATCTGAGGGTCTCCCAACAAAAATCTGAGGGTCTCCAATGAATATATGGGGGTGCCCAATAAAAATATGGGGTCTTTAACAAAAATATGGGGTCTCCAATGAAAGTATGGGGGTCTCCAACAAAAATATGGTGTCTCCATTGAAAATTTAGGGGTCTCCCATGAAAATATGGGGTCTGCAACGAGACGTCCATGGGGATCTCCAATTAAAGGGGTTCTTCAATAGTACTCCAATGATGATGATTTTTTCCCAGACTCTATTTATAACCCCTAATAAATGAAAATATAAAATAAATCTATCTATGTTACCTAGAAAAATTTGTTACGTTAAATGATATTTTGGTTTGATTTTGAATAATTTAAAAACTTGTTTTCAGAAACAATGATTGAGATATTCAATGAAGAAAAAATAATTGGGGGTGGAGAAATGGGGGGATGTTCCCCTGGAAAATTGGGGTGACGTCCCCATCCCTGGAAAACTGGGGGGACTTGGCTCCCCCCTGGCAAAATTAGGAGTGCGGTAGACGCCATCTAGCACTTTAATTTTGATTTTTAAAAATAGATTCAAATAGATTTTGCCTGCGGACTCAAAGTCAATATTTTTTATAAAAATTACTTACACATTTTCAACCTTCCCCCAAGCTGTTCATGGTTTTGACATAAAAATGACCAAATTCACTGTAAAAAATTCCAGGGGGGGGGGTGATAGAAAAAATACGACGCAATAATTCAATTATTCTCCCCCTCTCCCCTGGAAAATATCAAAATAGATCAGTCTTATCAATCTCTAGAAGGCCCCCATTAGAGACAGCTTAACACTTTTCATTCAAATATTCGTAGCTTAATTTCCTTCAGAATTGATTTTAATGAAATTTGGGAGATTTCATTTTATTTCCAAACATTTTATAATTCTATCCCAGATTTTTTACACCTGGCAAACAATTGAATAATGCAATTCTAAACTTTTTTTCCCAACCTTCCACATCGAGACCATTCCGTTCAGGTTCATGTTCATAATCACAGTAGGAGTATCACAACCAATCTAAAATAAAAAAAGAATATTTGGTGGTCTTCTACAAAGGAGAGGTGGGGAAAAAAAATGATCCGTAGGTCTGCATAAGATGGAGATCAATACGATCCATGGGTAATTTCCTAGAGAACGATTTTTGGAACCCCCCCCCCCCTACTATCAATTTTGTACATGGATCTTAAATGTAAGAGGATCTTAAATGTAAGACATGTGGCCGCAGCGCTCGGCCCCTAGCCTGTCCTAGCCGCAGCGCTCGGTCCAGAAAGTATCCTTACCTAACCTAACCCGTGGCCGCAGCACTCGGCCCCCTAGCCTGTCCTAGCTGCAGCGCTCGGCCCAGAAAGGTGTCTTAACCTAACCTAACTTAAATAAAAGAAATTGTCATAACTTAACCTAACCCGTGGCCGCAGCGCTCGGCCTCCTAGCCTGTCATAGCCGCAGCACTCGACCTAGAAAGTGTCTTAACCAACAACCCTAAATAACAAAAAATAAATAATAATAAATTTGCTGAAAAATAAGGGGTCATGTACAAAATTGATAGGAGGGGGTGGGGCCGGGGGGTGTCAAAAAATCGTTCTCTAGGACAGACCCGATCAATGCTTGATTTCCAGATTCATAACAAAAATGTCTGGCTTCATTTAAACGTGTTTTATACAAAACTTACAAACTAATTCATCGCGACCAATGGTTAATCTTTTTATTCTACACTTCCTTAATAAAATTCATTTGATAAACATATATTAAAAAACTACATTGAAGATCTAGGTTTTAGAATATTGATTTGAATTTCATATTAAAAATAGATATAAAAAACACAAGGTTCATAATTACTTTACAGTAACTAATATTATTACATTTATTCAATGAAACTTACCCAAAAATAAACTTTATTACACGTACACACAAGAACCAGCAAGTTAAATCTGAAATAACTTATAATTCTGACTCTATACATCTTTAATTCATTCAAAATTTAGCTGACATAGCTGTAAAATTGTAGAAATTTAAATTCCTTTAGAGAGTTTTGTAACTATGTTAATGCAAATGTCACTTGATATTTGTTGAACAAACACAACAAAACTAGTTTTCTGTGTTTCATTGCCTACTGCTTGAATTTGCCTAGGATTCGACCAAATACCAATCTAGGCAAGTATTTAGTTAGATAGATAAATAGATAGGTAACTGCCAGGGTTTAGTTGTGGATAATATACCTGCCTCTCTCTCTCTAGTAGTGTACACACACGTCAGAGAAAAAGAGGGATTTATCGGGATTCAAATTATATGTTTTTGTAGATCCTAACTTTTAGTGAAAGAAAAAAATTAATGAGGAGCAGGGGCGGATGCAGGATTTAAATGAGAGGGGTGCTAGATTATTTCGGAACAAACAAATCCAGATTTATAAACTAAAAAAGGGAAACAATTTTTTTAAAGGGACAGTAAAGGAAAAATGAAAGGGGGTATAGGCTGAAAGCTAATCACTTTAGTTCTTGATCGCGCCCCATGAAAGTTTTATCTGATGTTCCTGTCTCGAGAAATTGATATAAAACTGTGTTATAATTATACAAAAATTCATATATGTAAAATTTTGAAAATCTGAAACTTAAATCACATGACCAGAAGTATCACCAATGGCAGAGCAGTATACTGGGCACGTGTCTCCGCCTGTATCACGTGACCACTTTACTGCACTGCCATTGGTGGAATTTCTTGTCAAGTAATACGGACGTAAAAATAATATTATGAATGAAATCTATTGAAAATAGAAACAACAAATATAAAAGTAAACCTAAATTACAATTAGCTTTCTCTGGGATATCATCTTATTCAGATTGATTGCTGTTTTTCTGAGCATGGTCTGTTTAACCCTACTATTTCTATATGAAATTGTATATATATGCATTTTCGTACAAGTTTGAAACAGCTTTGTATCAACTCTCGAGTTAGGAACTTCAGATAGGCGTCTCAAGGGTCTCGATGAAAAGCTAAAGTGATTAGCTTTCAGCCTATACCCCCTTTCATTTTTCCTTTACTGCCCCTTTAAGATAGATATTTTTTTCTGTTTTCCACTAGGTTTCTTTCCCTTAAGTGCTATTGAAAAGCTATTCTGAAATCTCATGTGGGCTTTACGCACCCCCTGAATCCGTCAGGACTCAGGGGGGGTGCACAGGTCCTGCCGCCCCTACCCTGTATCCTAGCTTCTTTTGATTCCATGGGGAAAGAAGGGTGATCAGAATGGAAAAAATTGTATCTATAGCTTTACAATTACAAGTTCATAGTAATTGTTACTTATACAGAGAATCCCAGATAAGAATACATAGCAAGAGTTTTTGTCGTATTACATATTTAAGATCAAATGCCGCGGAAAAATGAGTTTAATATTTATATATTCATATTTCAGGGCTATTAATTTACCTTGAATTAAAAATAAAAAGAAGTTTCTTTAGAATTATCAACTTATGACGGCCTTATTCTATTTATATATCTGGGATTTACTTTATGTACAGTGAAACCCTTCATAACGAATACATCGGAAGAATTTATCAAAATGTCGTCTTGACAATTTTTCAATGAGTTTTTTACTATATTAAGTAAATTTAAGTATTTGCGAAAATAAATAAATAGCCATGAATATGCGGGAACAGTTTTAAAGAGTTCCATATATAATCATTTAATTAAAAAACTAAATATCTGCAACGCAACATTTCATTATCAGAAAATGAAGAATATGCGACATTTGATGAATTCTTTCTATGTATTCTTTATTAAGGGTTTCACTGTATGAAATATAAAAAATAGAATAATCGTATAAAAATGATTTGATTTTCTCAAAATTAAATGATTATCAAGAATCTTACACTGGGCCCCATAAAACTGTTGAATAAGATTGGGAAGATAAAATTCAAGTAATGTGTTTGTTTGTTATATTTGTTGAAGCAAATAGTTTTATATATCAGGTCTTTAATACAGGGTGTCCCAAAAAATATGGGAATTCAGTGACGAATTGTATATCGTCTTTGCTATGAATTGGCATTGTAATACCTAATTTTAAAAGCCATAGTATTATTATGTCTGCTAGAGTTTATTTTATGAAAAGGGTAAAAGACTGTAAAGATGTGTCTATAACGTCTCTGCAAGATGAAAAGTGAAGACGGACAAGTTTACTCGTTTGTATACTGCAATTTTCTTGTTTTACTAAGTACAACCGTATGCAGTCAAAACATAAACAAACAAAATGTGAACATAGCAGACGAAACTCTTACAGAATACAGTTTTCTCAGTAGGTCTCACTATACTAAATCAAGGAATTATTTAAAAAGACGATATCGAATTCGTCACTGAATTCCCATGTTTTTTGGGACACCCTATATCTTAACTTATCAAGTGAAATGGGTTTGGGTACACTGCAAAATTACTGTGTGTACTTGTTTTTTCCTATTCCACCGTGTTATGGGTGTCGAGTTGCTTTTTATAAATAAATTGAATTAATTGTGATATTTAATTATTAAGTAAAATAACAATAACAATACGATAATTTTTTGGTTAGTGTTTCCTTTATGTTTTGCTGTAGGATAAAAATATTCAAAAGTACAATAAAAGCAAACTTTAAAAGTATGCAAAAGTTTTCACAACAAAATTTTAATTTATGCTTTATCTTTAGATGTTTTTAAAGTATTCACTGAGCGGAGACAGGGTTAACAATATGAATTCTAAGACATATAGCGAGGAGATGGCATTTTTATTAAGAGTAAAAATATTTAAATTATGGAATTAATCGTAATATCACTACAATATTTAAAAGATATTATGGCTTTCAAACTCATGTTTTAGATATAGTCCAGTGAAAATAAAATATTCTGCAGTGTACACAGACCAAGTTCACTTAATAAGTTGATTNAGAAACTTGATAAGATCTTTTCCTGATTAAAAATATTTTTTATCTTGCTAATTTCTTTTCCGAATATTTGAAAAGTTTAAAACGATTTAAAAATATTGCAAAGTTTTACCTTGAACGATAATTATATATTTTAAATACAAGGTTTCCGATTTTCTCTTTCCCTTTTTAATCTAAATTTCATGTACGATTTAAAAATTAAATCTTTTATATATAGCTCGATCTTTTTTTAAATGCTTGAGAAGAAATAATTTTGAATTTCTACTATGCAACGAAATAAATTTACTTTCTCAGGATTTAGGGGCGTAAAATTTAAAGTTATGAGGAATTACGAGATCTGAAAGTAGCACTATAGTAGTTTTGTAAACAAATTTTACCATGTCTTCTGTTAAACATTATAGTGCTTTGATAATCTTTGTTAAATCCCCCGCCCCCCCCCCCCCATCGTCCGTCAAGAAAAAGCTTTCTTAGATAATTATATTCTATTATTTTGAGCATTTCTGTCAAAACTAGAGGTAAAATGACTTTGTTTTTGTTTTTAAAACTCTGTAATAGAAGGGATACAGGGTCGTCCACAAAGGATGAGACTTAAAAGACGACTGTATGGAATTTATTCGTTTTTATCATGCATTATTAATTCTGTGGAACAGTATAAGCACTTTTTTATTGTTCACCAAATCTTTTAGAATACCATAAAAAAACTACACTTTACACGCACAGAAAACAAATTAGACCTTAAAGGGAGTGACTGGCTACTTAAGGTATTTGAACCGAGGGTGCAGAATTATAGAGTAAAATAACAGGATTTATATGATACCTACAAAAGACGTTTTTACGGTCATAAATACGTCTGAATAGCAATAACATAATGTATTGTATAGTTGTAAAAAAATGTTTACTTTAAACATAATATTTCTTAATTATGAAACAGTTTGTTGAACAATTACAAAAGTTTCTGCAGATAAATGAGGATAGGTCCTTCATCATTATCACCTTATAATCAGTCAAGGGTTAAATGGGTATTGTTGTGAATCGGACATTCCACTCTACAACTGGAGGGTCACTTGAACCATCGTCTAAAGTTCCTTTGATGGAAGACCGGCGCGGTTTGATTTGGATTCTATCCTTAAATATGATCTTTTACAGGTATTTTATTTACATGTATTTTATTTACATGTATTTTATGTACATGTATTTTATTTACATGTCCTTGTAAAACATCTCATGCACTGCGCAACATCAAAATGTCCTTATAGTAACATTTTAGCAATTTTCTTCTTTATTCTAAAAGTTTTATGAGATTTTATTAACGTGTTATGATATTAGATCAAATTAATATTTTTAAATATTCGATTAGAATTTTCGATACATCAAATACTACGACAGGATTCCTTGTAAACACTAGGAACCGAATTACAAAAATGTTTAAACCCGAGTTTAACATGCACACTGCATAGTGTTGCTTGATGCCTAAATTTAAAAGAAAAAAGTAGTTTATGACAGATGACAGTGAGAACCAGAAAACTGTGGAATATGAAGACGATATGAAAGCAATAACGAAGCGTTGGCAGGGGCGTACGAGGGGGACACAGCAATATTGCTTTTTACTTCGCTATCCCTGATAGCGTCATGTTCTTAACTCTTCAGTTTAAGATTTGAAAAGTGTGAAAGCTCTAAGTTCTAGGGGGGGGGGGGGTTAACTTTTCACACATCATAGTTTATTAAGACAGATATTTTTCCTGTTTTGCACTAGGGTTTCTTTCCGAATTAAGCATGCTATTGAGAAGCTATTCTGAAATAAGAACAAAAAATTCCAAATTCAGGGGGGGGGCGAATGTCCCCCCGCCCCCCCTGTATCCGCCCCTGACCAGACTAGATTTCTTGTTTCATTTTATATCAGATGTGTTGACTTATAACTGAATATCCGGTTGGTAAGGTTAGTTTTTATTGTTTAAGTATAACACACATTTTTCTTGCCCCCCCCCTAAAAATGTTTAGGGGGGGGCCAAAAAAATTTTTTAGTTTTTCAAGCAAATGAATAATTTTTAGACTCTAAGGTTAGTAACGCCCAAAAAAGTAGTCTTTTTGGTGTATTTTTATGGTGAACAAAATAAGTCCAGGTGGGAGAGGGGGGGCAAAAAAATTTAAAAAAGGTATTAATATTTTTTCAAAAAAGGGGTTTTAAGGGGGGGGACCAATGTTGCCAAGGGGGGGGACCAAAAAATTGTGCCCCCCCCCCTAAACAAAAGCCCTCGTACGCCCCTGAGCGTTGGTAAAGTGCATATATTCATACTTTATTATAGTTACTTATTGAATCCCTTAAAAAGTGAAATGGATCTGTTTACATTGTCTCATGTTCATCAACCTATTTGTTGGGTTTCCAGCGAAATGGAAAAATGGTTTCGCATTTTTCGCGACCATTTTGCTTCATTTTCGAATTTCGTTCGCTCGCGAAAATTTTTGCGAAATTTATCGCATTTTCGCGAAATTTTCGCATTTTTTCGTGAAGCGTTTCGTTTGCTGGAAACCCTAATTTAAAGTCATAACTTGGATTCTAAAAGTCCTCTTTCTATTTCCGAGGTTTATGACTCTGAATCTGAATATGTAAACATTAACATTATAATCCCGAATGATGACAAGGATTTATAATACAGTTGCGATCATTTCGTTCATCCCCTTATGATCCGTGTACAAGATAAAATTTGAAGCCTTTCGTTAAAATAAAAATGTTATGCATCATGCATCGGTCGGAATTAATTTAAAACTTTTTAGAATTTTGTAGCTGGAAAGGGTCACCCTGTTGACAGACAGATATATTCAAAATAGATAGATAGATGAATAGATAGATAGATAGATAGATAGATAGATAGATAGATAGATAGATAGATAGAAAGATAGATAGATAGATAGATAGATAGATAGATAGATAGATAGATAGATAGATAGATGAATAGACAGATAGATACTTAGACAGATAAATAGATAGAGGCCGGTACCGGTAGCTTTACATTGATGCCATCAGAAGAGAAAATATTGCGGTCAGTCTTACTAAACCTGTCAATAGAGTAGGAGAGTAGTAATAGTAAAGTTGTAAGCAATAGAGTAGTTATAGAGAGTAGTATAGTAGAGTAGTAGAGTAGTATAGAAGAATTATCTTTTTTCATATCGTTATGATTTTCATATGTTTTTTTAACACGTCCGGGCTTTGATATCTCTGGGACCGAATTTAATGAATTTGAGAGGCCGCTGAACTGCCTAGAGCCGGTTCAAATTCTAATGATTCACCGATTCAATTCCTCATGAAATTTAATTTTAACTTTGATTTAAGATTTTAACCATCTAGGCTCTTTTGTTTGCTTGATATTGGGTATAAGATTTTTAAAAAGTCACGCAACCTCTGGCCATATTTAAGCAAAACTTCTGTTTGTAAGGGGTTTACGGAATATTTAATAAAAGGACGGACTTAATAAATTAATGAATTAAGAATCAGGAAATAATTTAATTTGTGCTATTGTAAACTCGTCAATACTTTAGAAATAGTTCAACAATCCGTTTCTAGTAAAACTACCGCTGGCAATTTATAAATTCTTACCTCTGGGTTATTAAGATAGAAGATATTAGATTTTAGTTTTTTTTACAATCAAAATAAAAGGAAAAAATCATTTGACTTTCAATCACTTATAACATTGAATGTTTGTTAAGACTTTAAAGATGACAGGATTAAGATTATTAAGTATTCTTCTTCTTTTCTCCTTCCTTCTCCTTATCCTAGTATCCGTAGTCCAGGTAAAACTTGATCAGAAAACTTGTAGATAGATACAGGGTTACCCACAAAATATACCACTATAGAGACAACCTGAAACTCTTCTTATATATATCCAAAGTTGAATATAGTCTTTTTTTCTCATTTTTGATGATTGGAAAAAAAGAAACAACGGGATTGTAGAGAAACTTATATATAAGGAAACAGACTGTTTAAATTCCGTACATTTGTCTCTGAAATCTCATCCTTTGTGGGTAGCCCTGTATATGAAATAAAACATGTGCTACCTGTCATTTCTCTCATTATTTTGGGGATTAAGAGAAAAATACAAAACTGAAAATATTTATTTAACCATTCATACAACTGGAAACTCAACAAAATTGGGCCTTTTAGAAAGTTTTACATTTGACTCTGTAGAGGATTTAAGATTGAAAATAAATAAAAATATAACCATGCAATTTGCAGGCCCGGGATTCAGACGGGGATGGGATAGCAGATGAAGATGATCTAGGTAAGCATGATAACTGCTTGTATTGTATAGATCATGATGTAGATGATCTAGGTAAACATGATAACTGCTTGTATTGTATAGATCATGATGAAGATGATCTAGGTAAACATGATAAATGCTTGTATTGTATTGATCATGATGTAGATGATCTAGGTAAACATGATAACTGCTTGTATTGTATATATCATGATGAAGATAATCTAGGTAATCATGATAAATGCTTGTATTGTATAGATCATGATATAATGAATAATGATCTAGGTAAACATGATATAAATGCTTGTATTGTATAGATCATGATGTAGATGATCTAGGCAAACATGATAAATGCTTGTATTGTATAGATCATGATGAAGATGATCTAGGTAAACATGATAACTGCTTGTATTGAATGATTGATATATTAAAATATTTCCCTGTATTATACATAATTTTAAAAACGATCTAATGATATCCCTGATGTAGATGATGATAATGACGGTATCCCTGATACTGAAGACCTGGACGATGATAATGATGGAATTCCTGATGTTGGTCAGTAATCAAGATAAAAATGATTATAATAATAATAATAATAATAATAAGAATCATGATGATATTTTCAATTATCCTAATGATAGCAATGACAATAATATAAATATTTAGTAATAATAGTAAGAATAATGTAAATATCAATAATAATAATAATAATAACACTGATAATAATAATACATCTAATGTAAATAAATCCATAAAAAAGATAAAGTATATATAATAATAATCAAGAATTGATAATAGATAAAAAATAATTGATTAGATGATGATGATTGGCTGGGACATGATGAGATGTGAAGATATCAGCTGATATATATATCTGTAGAAAACTTTAAAACCCCACCAAATATGTTTCTTGTTTGTTATCGCAATTTTAAATGGTCCTTTCTTTTATAAAGTGTCGAGTCATAATCAAATCATATGGATCCGTTAAACCTTCATTTGAAACTAAAAAAAACGAAGATATTAATGTAAATCCTCAACCAAAAAATGGGTTACATTAAATTAGCAGGACTAATAATTTTTCCATGATTAGTCTGTATATTTTACTAATAAATTTTAAATCTTAATTAATGTGTTTAATCTGTCAATAATGTATAACTTTGCGAATTTTTTAATACCGCGGCAAAAATCAAAAAGATGCAATTTTGGCAGTAATCCTAATTGGGTAGGTTTGCATTGCATCTCATCATCTTCTGAACTTATGAATTCAGATTATCCAAGTAAAAGAGAAAGTTTAATAAAAATTGTGAGTCACCCCAATTTATTAGCATTCAGTTAAAAAAGGCAAGATTTTCGTTACATTTTGAGAAACAATCCCATTAAAGCCTCTTGATTTAAATAAAAAATAATTTGGATACTTCAAAAATATATTTTAATGAAATGAATCCCCCCTCCCCTCCCTAGTATTTGTTTCTAGCTGCAGACACCCACAATCATGTAATCAAATTAAATATAATGTCTGGATTATGTTTAATATAAGAAATCTTGAGTAATATATTCCCTTTAAGCTGGAGAAATTAACTTGTTATTTACAGTTCCCCTTCATTGCAAAAGAAAATATATATATATATATATATATATATATATATATTTATGCATCAATGTAATATTTACTAAATACTGGGTTACCCAAAATTAGGATGTGACTTCAGAGAATACTGTATACGGAGTTTATGATTTCTATTTCCTTACATTCATTATTATTATTATATAAATCTTTATTGTTTCTAAGCGATACAACTAAAAATTAACATTAAAAAATGACAGGGTTTCGCTTAGAGTAAATTATTTATATATCCGAGAGCGTAAATGTGTTTGATGAAGATAAAAATGTGTGGTTTTCAAAAGTGGAGCTAGTTTGTTTGAAACAATCAAATTGACGGAGGCTTTAGTTTAGAGTTTTTTTTTGGCCCTTTTTCATCTATTAAAACAAATATTTTCAAAAGAATTTCAGATGTTTTCATCTTGTTTTCTTTCATGAATATTTTGCAGTCCTGACCTTTCCCTGTGTATGTTGTTAGCACCTGTTTTCTAAAATGTCACTCAATCCTACTTTTCTCGAACATGATTCAAACATCTTCAACAGAAATGACACCATGCACAGTGCTTTAGTTTTCAGAAAACGGGGTCATGTGAATTGGGGATTCACTGCATACGTTATTTTGTTTGTATATACACTTTTCTAATGCAAGTAATTCAGAACTTCATAAGTTTATAACTTATGCCATAGAAACTCTAATATTTCCTATATTTCATTAACCTGATGCTCGCATGGATTTAACGGTTCTGTCAATATTCCAGAAAGGGCTTTCGATCACAATTTGACCCATTAAACATAATTTTTTAGCCTTTTGTCTTGGATACTTTTTTGTCGGCATATGCATTTTGAAAAAAAAAGATTTGAATAAACAAATCCGTAAGGTAAAAGATTGTTGAATTATAAACCAAAACACGTTTGATTTCAAATAGAAGAAACCAAATGCTGCTCACTCTGGTTAGTCCGGGGTGGATGGTGTGCTTTGTAAACAATTTTATTCAGTATTTTTTTTAATATGTCAAATGTCTACGACACGAGGTTGCAAAGGTAGAGGTATTAGAAAATAAGTAAAAATACCAGTAAGAATTAATCTTCATGACAGAAACAAATCTGAAAAATATCTTCATGACAGAAACAAATCTGAAAAATCATCAAATTTTAAAGTGTTTAAACGAGTGTTCAGTCTAACGAACTCCAGCTAAAAAAGGCCTAATGCTCAGTAGCTCTACTGCTGAGCTCCTTGTCTTTAAAAAATTGTTGGATTATTATTGTTCTTGTTACCAAGTCGAGATATATCTACAGGGTTAACCTCACAAAATTAGATTTTAATGACGACATTAAACTTTTCAAGTAAAATTAAAAGCAGTTTTTTTAATATTTTAGCCTCAAAAGATGTGGCCAAAAAAACAGACATAAAAGTTTTTTTCTTCTATTTCTTTAAAACTCCATTAAAAATCTTTCAAATCCATTAAAAAGGGTCCAAACAAATTTCTTAGAAAATGATAATAAATTGATTTATTGATTTCAAAAACATTTTTGAGTGATGGAAGAAGACTTGAAGCATTACAGATTAGAATTTAGTATAACTAAATATTTTTACAAATTCATTAAAAAAACATTCGATTGATCAAATTAATTTATCAATGAAGGAAACTTGGGAAAATCGTGGATTGGATATTTTATTTTGGCAAGTTTTACAAATCTCAAAACTATAATTTCATAAGTTAAATCTTTCATTCTTCAGAAATATGAACTTATGTTATAACTTATGTTTTACTATTCCTGTATCATATATAATCTAATTTTCAGGAGCTTGACATTTAAATAATCAAAATGAGTCTAATTTAAATAAAATAAATTGATTTTAGGTTAAATTTTTTCTCATGATAGTTTCAGTAGTAAATGATCCTTGTAGTTCAGAATTTTCACGAATAAATCGACATGAACGCAACTTTTTTCATCATTTATCAGATTAAAGCAAATTTGGATTTGGGGAAAGTGGGGGAGGGGGGGTTGCGGTGGAACCTGATGCGAGGGGAATAAATTTTTAAAAATTCACTTACTTTGCATATTTTCAAAAGTTTAAAAACGCAAATATATCACACCCATGGGCCAATAAGAGCAGTTCTACAGTGATAACCAGAAAGCTCTGAAAACTTTTAGACTAAAAAACTACTTTCTTTAAAAAATTCACCTTGTAGTAAGCATGCCCTTGGCAAACTTTTATTACTTATCTTAAAATTATTGACCAAAAAGATAAAATTTATAGATTTTCCTAAAATTGAAGGAAAGTTTTATCTTAGTAATCTCGGTACAAGAATTTGAGTCCCCTGGGTAAAATCATAAATGTGTCCAAAATATTTGATGTGGAGCATACAGAGAGATGTGGGAATATATAAATTCAGGAGTATTAAACATATTCATGATAACATCCCCCCCCCCTCCCTTTTGGTTTAGGGGAAATGTAAAAAGAAATTTATTCGAAGTTTTCCTTCTTCACGGTTGTTTTCACCGAATTGTTCTGAAATTTATTCCTATGATTCTGGAGAAAATAAGTATGAAAAATTATGCTGAGAAGGGAGGTAGTGGAGGTTGTGTTGAACCCCTGTGGGGGATGCAGGGGGTGGAGGATGTGTTGAATTTTTTAGAGGATAAGTGATAAGATATATATGAAAGCTGTCCTTCAATAGATTATATTTATTTATTTCATATTTACAGATATAGTTTGAACTTGAACTTCAAGTTCAATTTATTTGACATTTTATCTCCTCTTCGGAAAAGATTTTCACCTCCTGGACTGTAGACGTAATTTCATCATTAAAAAGGGACATTTAAACCTTTATCTGATAAATAATGTGGAAGATATCGTCGTTTTCAATATTGCAAAGTTTAAAACTGACAATTTCATCTCCAATCCTTTTTCAGCTATTTCTGTTTTGTCTACTTTTACCCTGTAACTATCCAAACTGCTTGTATGAACGGAGAGGAAACTTTTGTATATTTTTGTAATGAAACGCTTAACATAAACAGTTAAACGAAACATTTTCCTTTCAGCACGGAACAAGGGATAAACATCACAAATGTTCAATTTGCATCAGTTTTCAAGACTGGGTCGACTTTATACTGTCGCAGCGCCTTGGCCTTTGTAGAACTAAACCTGTAAATTTTAGAACTATTAAGCGGTTGGTTTAGTTTTAAAATATTTTTCTGGCAAGAACTAAATTATACGATTTGTACATTGATAATACTAATACCAAGCAAAGCTATAGCTAAGTGAAGCATCGACATATTTCAGACTTGAGGATGAAAACTGCAAGACAGCTCTCATTTGCAGGATCATCTTGTCAAAATATTAAATTAAATTTTTTATGAAAACATTAAATATCTGTGCTGTCTCATAATCTAATCCATTGAGCACCGAATGCTAAACATTGTTTACTGAGAGTATAAATTGCTGAGTTCTTGCACGAGTAATGCGTACTGCGTACTGAATAATGATTACTGAGCACTGAGCACTGCGTACTGAGTATTGAAATCCATGAGTACTGAGTACTACGTACTGCATACTGGATACTGAGTACTGAGAACTAAGTACTGCAGAGTGCAGAGTACTAATCACTGCATACTTAGTACTGAGTAACTGAGTACTGCATACTGGATACTGAGTACTGAGAACTAAGTACTGCAGAGTGCAGAGTACTAATCACTGCATACTTAGTACTGAGTAACTGAGTACTGCATACTGGATACTGAGTACTGTGAACTGAGTACTGAGTACTGAGTATTAAGGACTGAGTTATGAGAGTTCTGAGTGCTGAGTAAAAATTAAGTAATGAGTTCTGAGTACTGAATGTTGAGTACTAAATAAGATCTTATAGATACATGATAATCTAATAGATCTGAATACTGAATACTGAAAGTACTGCGCACAGATTACCTTTATTATACAAATGATGATGATGATTCATCATATAAAACTAAACCAGAGACATTCTCAATCATTTTGAAAAAAACACTTTGTGAGTCATGTTTACGCAGAATTCACAGAACACATAATTAGACCTTGAAGCATGAAACAGTTCATCACAATATATTCTTAGAAAAATTAGGAATATAACAGACATAATAATAACAAAAATAAGAGCAATAATAATATAATAATAATCATAATAATAATAATAATAATGATAACAATATATGTCCTTGAATAGTTCCAATATAATTTTTAGGTCACAACACAACGAACACAGGGATTTACTTTAAAACCAAGCGTCATATCAGGGGACAGTAGCTGTACATTCTCCCAGTTAAGGGAATCCCAGAAATAGGTTTAATCATGTCGAAATAGATTGTAAACCAAGCCTACTAGTACTAGAGGACAGGGATGGCAGGATAGGAAGTGATAGGTAAGCATATAAAAATACTTCACTAACTTCTAAAAAATATTTGGTTTAAAAATAAGTAAATAAGTTAGTAAAAGTATAAGTCTCTAATAAGTAAATAAGTTAGTAAAAGTAGAAGTCTCTAATAAGTAAATAAGTTAGTAAAAGTATAAGTCTCTAATAAAATCCGCAATAAAAGAAATGGTTTCAAGTTACCCCCCGCCTTGAAGCTAATTCCAGTTTATAGTTTGAAATTGATCCCTCAGATATAAATGCATTGTGATAAATATATAACCTAGTGGAGCTAGTTATAGAGCTAGGTATATCTGATACAAGAGCCTAGAAACTATGCGTAACATTAGAGGTGTACAGTGAGTCACAGGTTTCATCCAGGTCTATATTATCAATGTAAAATTCGAAACTTGGATAAACAAATTTATGATTTTTAACAAAACCAAAAATAGTGTAACTCGGGGAAAGGTTGGGATGAGATAAAAAAGAAAAGTATGAGTTTTGTCGAATTTGTGAACCATGAAGTTTTGAAAGCCCCAACCCCCGAGCTCAACCGCCAAACTTTAAATTTACAATTCTACCACTCTGACTAAACTAAAGGCTCAGTTTTACTAACGAGATCGAAGCAAACAGTCCTCTTGGATTGTTGGGAGTTTTTGAAGCTTGATTAGAATATATATATATTCATCATTGTTTAGCAAAATAACGAGTTATCAAGCTCGTTAATTAAAGGATTTGTGATTAGAAGACAAATAATAATATTGAACCAGGTGGGTAGATACTTTTTATACTTTTTATACTTTTTATACTTTTTATACTTTTTATACTTTTTATACTTTTTATACTTTTTATACTTTTTCATCTAAGGTGTGTGGGTTTACAGATATTTTTTAGTTAAATCAAATTGGGGATTTATTTAATATAAATCCTTTAAATACATAGTGGTGGATTTATTTAAAGTCTAAGATTCTGAAAGTTTAACAAATATTAAAATGGTTTTTGTGAACTTGTGAGTATTGATTTGTATTTGTGTTAAATGGAAGAAAAAACCCTATATATATATGTTAGTGTATTGTATATGTTTAATAAAAAAATATGTTTTTCTTTATTTATTGGTTGGGAGAACTAGGGTGGGGGAAAAAAAATTTCAAACAAATTCTTAACAATCAAAAAAAACTTAAGTTATTTCCTTTTTCGAAATTTCTAAAACGTAGTAATAAAAAACTTGAAATTTGATTTATTTTTCTACAGTTACATCTCATGATTTGTTCTTGAAATCCTGAATGTTTGGTTTAAATCAAGATTTAAATTTAAACTGAAAGAAAACGGTTAGAAGTATAAGACCCTTGAAATTCAGTTTAAACCCATAAACTGTCTAAAACTGGTCAAACCCTAGCTATAGCTCCATCCCTTCAAACTAGTACTTTGACCTCATTCAGGAAAAAATTTTACATTATAATTTGTCTTCAAACCCATTATTTTGTTTTTAATAAGTTATAATTTGATTTTTTTTCTAACTCTTTTTAAAATTTATTTACTTTTTTGTGAACGAAACAGTATTTATCTAGAGTTAACTTTCTTTATATGCATTGATTTTTATTAGTCATCCCCTATAGGCAGTAAAAAGATGAATGAAAATTGTCTTTGTTTTTTCGTTTGATAATTTATGTTTCTAATAATTTTTGAAATTTTGAACAGTTTGATATATCGCTGATATTTTCAACGTTTTAAAAGTTACAAATTAAATACCAAATTATTAGCGACATTTTTTTTAAGAATCTGCTTTAAATATTACGAGCATTTAGCCTAGATTTTGGGATGCTCTAGGTTAAAGGTCTAGATTTTGGGATGCTCTAGGTTAAAGGTCTAGATTTTGGGATGCTCTGGGTTAAAGGTCTAGATTTTGGGATGCTCTAGGTTAAAGGTCTAGATTTTGGGATGCTCTAGGATAAAGGTCTAGATTTTGGGATGCTCTGGGTTAAAGGTCTAGATTTTGGGATGCTCTAGGTTAAAGGTCTAGGGAGGTTTTTAATAAATAAAAACACTCGAAATTTGACAATATACGAAACTCAAAACTCAAAACGCAAAACTAAAAGCTTGAAACTTTTGCAAAAGAATGTGAGAGGCGCAACTAAGGGGGAAGGCAACCATCTAGAGCCCCCCCCCCCCTTCTAGATATAGAAAAAAGGGAAAGGTACTGACTATTTGCCACAAACTAAAATTTTCTAATCCCTGTATCTTTGCAATCTGGTGGTGTAAACCGTTGATGATTCGGACTTAGACTGTTTAATATAACAAAATTGGTATTTTGAAATATCAAAGGTCTATGACATCGGGTTGCAAAAATTATAGGGGTTAAAAAGTTATAGTTTGTGGCAAAACCTTTACAAAAAACATTCCACAAAAACCCCGTCCTTTCCCTCTAAAAATACCCAAGTTGCGCCTCTAGTTTTTGTATCTGTATTGTGTACAGTGAGAACCATAAAACTGTGGAAAAGAAAGACAACATTAAACCAATCTTACCATAATATGATGTTGTTATAAAAACACATATTTTTACCCCGTAGCTTAAAAATCAATGAGTCTGTGTACGTATACACAACTTCTGTATTTTCTGTTCACAGTTTAAAATCATAACTTGGGGTCAATAGTCGTCTTCCTCTTCCACAGTTTTATGGTTATTACTTTAGTATTACTATAGTATGGGTGTCTACGGTCCTGCAATAGTTGGGTTTATTCTCCTTCTATTGATCTTCTCAACCGTCCTGATTATACTTCTTTATATCATAGAATAGACAACATATACCTCCACCGCATTTACCAGCTATTAAATCAATAAATATATATATATATATATATATTTATCAGTCTATATACAGGGTGTTATAATAAATAATTCTTTGATTTCGTATAGTGATACCTACTGAGAAAGCTGTAATCTGTAAGAGTTTCGTCTGCTATGTTTCCATTTTGTTTGTTTATGTTTTGACTGCATACGGTTGTACTTAGTAAAACAAGAAAATTGCAGTTCAAAAACAGAGTAACTTGTACGTCTTCACTGTTCATCTTGCGGACTGCGGAGACATTATAGACACATCTTATAGCCATTTACTGTTTTCATAAAATAAACTCTAGCAGACATTATAATATTATGGCTTTTGAAATTAGGTTTACAAGGCTAATTCATAACAAAGACGATATCCAATTCGTCACTGAATTCCCATGTTTTTTGGGACACCCTGTATATGAATATATATATAAATAGATATATATTTATATATATTTAATCTAATGTTCAATCAAAAAAGCAGATAAACATTTATATATATATACATTGTATAGAATGGGTGTCTACGGTCCTGCAATAGTTGGGTTTAATCTCCTTCTGCTGATCTGCTCAACTGTCCTGATCTACCTGGGTAGCATGCTCATCACTTTCTACCTTTTACCAACACTAAGTATGCATTTTTTCATTTTATGGAAGTTTATAACACCTAATATTTCACGTTGTAGAGTGATGTATGAACTTAATCGACATGCTATTCAAATTTAAAATTTCACATCTTATATTTACAACAAGATCATAAAGTAACTTTAACGACATGCTTGAAAGCAAGTTTAGAAAAATTGAATATGACTATAAATGTTACATATTCATTAAAACTCTAAAAAAGATAATAATTTATCAGAATAGGTGGAGAGAGGGGGGGGGGCGGGGGTATAAACGTCTAGAGTATAATTTCGCAAAACCGAAAATTAAGCCAGTTTGAGATAGGGCTGAGAGACGCCCCCCCCCCCTCTCCATTTCACCTCCTCCATTTCAGAAAATATATTATAGTGCTTTAACAAATAAAATTTTTTGGAGAACTTAAGAATTGAAGAATTAATATAAATTCTGCAATACACTATTCTTTAATTCTTCTTCATGGATCTTTAATTTCTCTCCGTGTTAACTCGTTTGTTGATGATGTCTAGGTTTTGTTCACGGAGCTTTCGCCGCAGTTCCTTATTTAATAATAATAGCCGGAGGAGGAGGTCTTATCGGAGGTCTTTTAGGAGTAGGAGTAGGAGCTACTGCTTCAAGGTATGATTTAGAAGTTTGTTTGAACCTAAACAAAATCTTGTCAAGTTGTAAAAATGAAAATACATTTTTGGTAAAAAAAAACGATATAGGAATTGAGTTTCTATCACAAACTCTGATTTTCTAAATCCTATATCTTTGCATCTCAGTGTCGTAGACTTTATATTTCAAACTATGAATTCTATGAAAATTCTATGAAATGTAAGTTTGAAATATCAGGTTGCAAAGATTTAGAAGATATTGGAAAATTTGAGTTTGTGACAAAGACTAAATTCCTTTGTATTTACATTGATGAGTTTTTTCGAAAAAAAATCAAATAAAGATTACAAAATATATTGAAAACATTGAAAATAAAAATAAAGAAATTTAAAAAATAATTTAATGTAGAGATGTAATTTTAAGTGACTCTACATTAAAAGAGAGATTTTTCCAATACAACGGTACAACGGTACAACGGTACAACGGTACAACAGTACAACGGTACAACGGTACAACGATACCTTTATAAGCTTTGTCGGATTAAGAATGCATGCAATTACAACATCTTCTTTTTGAAAATTAAATATTAGCAAATTGCGGTTTCTCTATAAAGCATTTCTGCTTCAGAAACAATGGAGGAAGTTGTCATAATTAACTATTTTTGAGGTAGAAAAACTAGGATATCTTCCATGACCGTTTTTAAATGGATCTGTCACTTGAAATTACAATATCATTCCCTTTTATGGTTTAATATTTAGACCAGAGATGGAATTTAAAAAATTTGAGCCGCGGTTTAAATCTGCCAAAACCCGGTTTAAATTAAGCGCCGGCTTAAATCTTGAAACATTTGATACAATTTTAAGTGGAACCGCGGCTTAAATTTAAACCACCGCTCAAATTCTTTAAATTCGGCCACAGGATTTATTGTTCATGCTATTCTACTCACCCTGGTTTAATATTTAGACCAGGATTAATTGTTCATGCTATTCTACTCACCCTGGTTTTCATAACCATGCTCGCTTCCGTCTTTACAGCTTATGACCTCAGATCTAAACTGGAGAATAAAATTCTAGATAAGGTTAATATTTATAGATGTTTATTATGAGAATGATAATAATAATAAGATTGATAATAATAATAAGTGATAAATAATAATAATTATAATAATGACGATAATAATGGTAATAAAAATATTAATAAGAATTAATGATAATATTAATCAGGGGGCGACTGCCGATTTTTTAAGGGGGAAGGGGTGAGAATAATTGAATAATTGCGTGCGAAGCGCGCCGAAATTTGTTACCCCCCCCCCCCCGTCCCCTGGGAAAAAAATTGTATTAGTAATTTGGTAATAATATTTATGTCAAAATTGTGACAAGCTGGGGGTGGGAGGGAAATGTGTTATCAAATTTTAAAATTTTATATATTTTTATTAAAAATCTATTCTTGAAAATCAAAATCAAGCCGCTTCTGATAAAAATTACATAATTGATTGTATTTCTAAATTTAGATGTCTTATAATCTTCATGACTTTACCACCAACTACTGGAAATATCCAGCGGAACGAGAAAAGTAAGAATCTATATATATACATTGCTTGTCTGTGTCTCAGTTTGCTTATATCCAACAAACAATAAAACGACTGAACTGATCGGGCCCAAAATTTGTGTGCAACTCATATGACAGTAGTCAAAATAAAAATTTGCTTCAAAAAAAATTAATTTTCGTGAAATTTTTAAAGTTTCACAACTAAAGCAATAACTCTGAAAAGTTTTGTTGTTTTATGAACAATAGAAATAAAGCCACAATTAAAAGTTAAAATGTAAGCACCCGGGAAGCCTGTTTTTTAAATCTTAAAATCTTAGAATATTATTTTTTGTTTAGCTGGGACGAGTTGCAGAGAAATTATCAATGCTGTGGCTTGCAGCAAATGAACACAGGATACAAGGTACAGATAGATACAGTGTATCCCACTAAACATTACAGGATATAAGGTACAGATAGATACAGTGTATCCCACTAAACATTACAGGATAGAAGGTACAGATAGATACAGTGTATCACACTAAACATTACAGGATACAAGGTACAGATAGATACAGTGTATCCCACTAAACATTACGGAATACAAGGATAGAAGGTACAGATAGATACAGTGTATCCCACTAAACATTACAGGATACAAAGTACAGTTAGATACAGTGTATCCCACTAAACATTACAGGATACAAGGTACAGTTAGATACAGTGTATTCCACTAAATATTACAGGATACAAGGTACAGATAGATACAGTGTATTCCACTAAATATTACAGGATACAAGGTACAGATAGATACAGTGTATCCCACTAAACATTACAGGATACAAGGTCCTAGACTTGTAGAAACTTTTTATAAACTGTGATCAGCTCCATATATATCTAGGACTAAATGATCAGTATACTTTACTCCATGTATACTCTAGGACTATATGATCAGTATACTTTACTCCATATATACTGTAGGACATATGATCAGTTTACTTTACTAGATGTAAGTAGTGTAATTTGGGCCCTTTCAGCTAAAATAAAGGGCCCAAAATACACTACTGATGTATACTCCAGGACTATATGATCAGTTTACTCTACTCCATATATACTCTATGACTATATTATCAGTATACTTTACTCCATATATACTCTATGACTATATTATCAGTATACTTTACTCCATATATACTCAATGTATACTCTAGGACTATATAATCTAGACTCCATGTGTACTTTATGACTGTACGCTCTATACTCCATGTATGCTCTAGGACTATGACTATATACTCCATGTAGACTCTAGGACTATAAACTATATACTCAAGTATACTTTAGGACTGGCAGTCTGGAGCTGTCTCTGGTCATGTCCCTGCGTCCACCGTACCTGACTCCTGCTGCCTATATGAGACTACAGGGTGTGGGAAGGATATTGGAGGAAAACTTCATCCTTATCTAGAAATCAACACTCATGGATGTCTCGCTATTCTTGACGTATGTATCTTATTATATAAAAAAGATGTTTAATCAACATTGGGCTGTTTTATCGTTTATCTGAAAAACTATGGTTAAGATATTTTGTTTTTGATCGTCTTCTGCGTCTTCTGACCCCCCCCCCCCCCCCCTCCTGGCACTTTTAATGAGAAATAACCATCGAGGTAGTAACCATATCGTTGAATAGAAATTGCGTTAAATATTTAACAGTCTGATTCGGACCACATTTTCATCATTTTCATTTTGCAGTTTATGATGTTGCTTAAACTATTTTTTGAGATCTGAATATCCTAGGGTCGTATGACACGTGATATTGAACCTCTTCTGCTTGGTTATCTGATCAGTGGAACCCTGCTCGCCCTCCTTCAGATGGTTTGCATTGTCATGTCCTCCGCGTACTGTGCTGCACTCACACGCAGGTCAATATTTGATTTTGTAACTTATCAATCGATCTACTGGAAAGATTTCCCAACCTACGGGTTTTCTTACCACTACAACTAGAAAGGATTCTAAATTCCAATGGAATTGTAAAGTTTTAAGGCATGAAAGTTAACAGTTTTCATAAACCATTCGATCTATTAACAAATATAATTTTTTGTTAGAAACTCATTAGGTCGGGTTTTCACAGGTTGATTTACAAATTATTTCTTAAAAATAAAAATATTGTTTTTTATTTCAGGGTTCAGCGTGAGAAGGAAAGACTAATGATACTGAACCAAGGGTAGGTTTACAAATCAAAGATTATGTGTGTTTAATGTATATGTATCTTATGTTTTTCTGTAGCCCTTTACATGTACATTTTAGCACTGAAAAGCACTTCTTGTTAGCTTTGGTGTTAAAGAAGTTTTTGGCAACATTCTCATCGATTTTTGCTTTAAATCAAATCACTTTTATGTGTCCCAGACATGTTCCTTCTTGGTGTATATTATAACGTTCTTACAAGTGCGATCTCAATGTGCGTCCTAATTATTAGTGCATCCTCCTTAATGCATGATCAATGATCATTCGTGCGTCCGAATGTGGTCGTCCTCTTTTGCAACAAAAAATGTTTACTAATGTTTTCAGTTAATATGATTAATTGATTAATTATTGGTGAATTTCAGTGAAAAGCGAAGCTTGTATCATTTCACTGACTCCGGAGCTCCCAGCACCAGAGGAAGTAAATCAATGGTGGATGAAGACAGAATATCCTCAACTTCTTATAATAGAGCCGACTTCAAAGCTACATTATACACAGAACCATCAAATGAAACGGGAACATGTATTTAATCAAGAGAGAGTGTGCATGTTAATCGCTAATTTAATGCAATTGTATTTATAGATTAAATTCAGGGTGTCGCACTAAACATGGTAATTCAGCTCATCTTTGATCAACGCGGCTTTTGTTAGTGAACAAAATATAAGGATTAATGGTCTGATATTTTCATTTCCATTCCAATTTTGGAAAGCTCACTAGACATACGACCATATTTAGATATAACTCTTGGATGTTTGTCAAAAATTCCAAATCAAATTCGTTCTCAATGTTGTCTCTAATTCCCATGCTTAATGGGACATTGTACAATATATGATAAACATGTGCTCATATATTTGAAACCAAGAAATATATAAAGTTGTATGTTTATACCAAGCTTTTAAACAGCTTTGATTCACATACGAATGCAAACAAAGTCAAGCTGTCAATTAACAGATTCTTTCAATGTTTACTTGTTAACTTGTAATTTGAAAAAAAGCTTCTTAGAAATCAAAACATAAATAGAAAGTCGTATGCTTTGTTTGACTAGTTTTGAGTAAATTTTCTCAAGATTAATTTTTAATTCATTCCAAATCAATGCCGAGCCCCTTAAAAATAAATCCGCTAAAAAACGGACACGTCATAATGTACCAAACAGACAAATGACTTCAGTCACAGCCCTTAACTGTACGACAGATTGTACATAATTATTTTATAGTGAAATTAAAACAAACTGCAGTCTCTGTAAATATATGTATTACCTATGGATCTCGTTTTAATAAACCGTAAAATTTCTTATTAAATTAATATCTATAACCGCTGGAAACATTAGGTAATAAGATGTCGTCTTCATATTTCACAGTGTTAAGGGTTCAAATGTATTATGTTTCAAAATTCAGCTTTTAAAAATAAAAGTTGGTATTTTTAAACTAACCATGCAGTTACGTTTCCTACTAATAATAGGAACTCGTCATCATATTCTACAGTTGTATGGGTTCCACTGCATTATATTTCGATAATTTTCCTTGTTTTCTTTATAATAGGAACTCGTCATCATATTCTACAGTTGTATGGGTTCCACTGCATTATATTTCGATAATTTTCCTTGTTTTCTTAATAATAGGAACTCGTCATCATATTCTACAGTTGTATGGGTTCCATTGCATTATATTTCGATAATTTTGCTTGTTTTCTTTTTAACTGTTCCTTTAAAACTCACCAAATACAATGTGTCAGCTACTGAACATAGTTTCTTGAAAATAGGATGTCGTCTTATTAAGTTTTGTTTATATAAAGGGTGTCCCAATAAACGTGGGAATCAATTGCAGATTTCTATATCGTCTTTGTTCCAGGATTTCCAGTTACCATATCTTTCAAGATTCTATTTTATTAAATAACAACAAAAACTTTCAAAAGTTTAATATCTCCGTTAATCTTCAGTCCTTATTTTGACACATTCTTTGTCATTATTAATATTTTTGATTTTATTTAAAATTTGCGAGCTGAAAATCTAGGGTTTTTGAGTATTCTGGATCTATTTTGGCGTTAAAGCTTGAGTTATTGGATAAAAACAAACATAGAGACTCACATATCCAAGTCAAATCTCTGTAACATAGACACTTAAAACAGATTACATGTACCATGAGGGACTCAAATAAAAAGGAACTGTAGACGTAATTTCAAGTGATATCCTTTAAACCAATTAGCCTGAGCAAAAATAATGAAAAATATCCTAGTTTTCCTATTTAAAAATTTCTAATTTGTAATTGTTGTTTAGCTGTTAAAGTTCCTGCAGGATTTTATGAGGTAGAGACAAAGAACGTAATGAACAGAATTCAACACGTTTTCAGATCGAAAACGCCAATTATATTCCCCATTGTTGTGAATCGGTCTTCCACTCTTTAAATTGAGGGTCCCTTGATATTACGTTTTCAGTCGTATTAATACCATTTTAAATGTGAAAACTTAATTATCTCCGAACTTCCAAAATAGTAAATTAGTAAGACGACATTCACACTTAGGTTTTAATGTTTTAAATTTTCTTTATTAATTTCACTGTTAGGCAATATTACTATACATAATCATTGATTTTGTATTTGTTTTGTGTTAGGGTTGATGAGATTTTACATTTTCTATTCACTTCTTTTAGACCATATGATCACACTCTACTTAAAATCTTCAATTTCTTTCCTTGGATCATAGAATTCTGTAATTCTGCAAACTTCCGAGATCTTTTAATAGATTTGAATAGGGTTAAAACAGTTCAGATTTATGATACATTAAACAGTATTTTAACCTAGATATATAGGCATATTGGGTTTAGTAAGTTATGTTTCACATGTCATTCAAAATTCTTCTGGCAGTATTAACTCATATTAGGGATTTAATCCCAGTAGGGTAGGGATTCAATAGGTATTTAATCCCGGTTTGCTGCGGAGTAGAATGAGGATTTATTCCGCGTATAAATCTGCGAAGAAGGTTGAGGATTTATTCTATAGGTATACTTGAAACTTTGATCAGACTCCGGGTTTATTATAGAGGGATTAAGGATTTACTCCAGGTTGACGAATCACTCCGGATACACATTGGAGTAGGTTAGGGATTTACTCCAGGAATTCTTCAGAAAATGTTTAGGACAATTACTCTAGGCATGATTAAAAGCTGGAAACTACTCAAGGTATCTGCTCCCTCCATGAGACCCCTGCCTACTCCTGGAGAGAGTATTATTATCTGCCCGACTATATTTGCTCCGAAGAGTTCCTGCATCTGACGGAGCATGCTGCCGGGGTCGTTCCTCTCCCTCTCCTAGTCCATACTCACTCCCGTAATCAGATTCAGAGTTGTACGCTTTACTTGCGTATCTGAAAATACGCAATCAGTAAATACTATGAACTATATCATCTGGAGATATAGCAAGTTGTGTAATGAACATTGAGCGTAGTTTTTGTTGAATGGTATAATTTTTTTCATAAGATGCTTCAGTAATGAGAACGTTGTAAGATTACAGTGAGATCCCCAATTTGCTGTATTGTAGTTGAAAAATAATTCATTCAACTAATTTCAAACTGACCCTTTCCTTTTGCAATAAAAAACATTCCAAATTGAATTCGGGTCGCTCACATATTGTTTTATTTTTATATGATGTTTATACTTTGGAGGTAAATACTGCAGCTGCTAGAATATACAGCAGATGCTGAATTAGACTGGATTCTCCAATGTAAGCGATGAAAGTTTCTTTTTTACAATATTCTCACAACTCAAGCATCAGATAAAAAAAGATTGATCTCATTCCAAAATCAATTTGGTTCTAGCCTTCGCGATTTGCATAGAATTTTGTAATTTGAAATAAAATACTGGGTTAACAACACCTATTAATGGTGACCAAAAGCCTTTAAATGTTAAATATTAAATAAATTTTTTCCAATATTGATCAAGAATAAACAAGGATTATAATAGAAACTCTACACAATTAATAAGTGTACAGTCGTTGCTGAAATCTCATTCTTTGATTTATTCTTATTCATTTATTTTTTCATTTTAAAATTTTCAATAAAAAAGTTTTAATTTAGAAATGAGTGTTTACCCGTACTGTGACTCATACACGGAGTAATCATCATAAATACTTGGTTCCTTCTCAATAACCTCCGTCTTGGTACAGCTGCAGGTCATTGCACTGCACAGGAATATATTGATCAGCAGCATAATCCCGAAAAGAACCCCGAAAGCGATGCAGAGGTAGGTTAACCAGTTCGGGTTTACATCTCCGATACCACAGAGCCCGGCCCCGATAGCTCCGATAGATCCAGGTTCCGCCACAAATACAGAGGTAGAGGTGGTAACTGTGTCATCCGCCTTAATTTTAGAATAATTAATTAAAAGAGAAATTGTATTTTCGGTCAAACTATTTTTATGCCATATTTCGGAGCATTAACTTCAGTTTTATCTTGAGTCTATAATTTATATAGATTCTTAAAACTACAAATATTTTGCACTTTATTTCTTTTTTTAGTAATATTATTTAGATTTTAAACTTTGCCTTTTTACTAACAATTCTTTTTGTCTTCTTAAAACTGAAACTGTCGCAGATTTTTGGGAAGCAATTTTACAATTTTCGACCGAAAGTTTTGCAAAATGTTTGGGTCCGATCGGACCAGCCGTTTTGGCGTTATTTAGATTCAAGACAGACAGACAGGCAAATTAGTTTATATATAGATAGATTGTACCTGTGTTCTTGTGAAAGGATCGTCTGATGACTGAATCTCCTGACGGGTCAGCTCACAGCTGGGTCGGGGACATGAACCTAGAGTACCAGGGTCAAGGATAGAAATAGATAAAAACATATTTATAATCATCTCTTTGTATCTAGCTTTTGTATATTATTTTTAACAAAAAAATTATTAAAAAATTTATTTTGTCTTATACAATGAACCTTTTCCTCTTCTTTGAACTCAAAATTGGTTTTAAAATCGTAGTTTTTCTTTAACATTTATTCTATTTTGGATTTATTCATAACAAAAAAGGTAATTTTTAAAAATTTTTAAACTATAATAAACCTCTGCATATCTCGACGTCGCATTGGAAGTAGGTTCGGTTAGTGTGGGGCATCCTGGAAACATAATTATTTAAAAACTTTTAAAGGAATAGAAATTATGACGCTTCTGTTTTATTTATGAATTGATTTGGAAAATAATTAATTCATTAGTATATCCTTAAAATATGGACTCAGATCCTTTGTTTGGAATACATTTTATATAAAAAAAAATAAATAAACCTAGAAACATCTGGCTAGGCGGAGTTTTTAGGACAGATATCTGTCTCAGAATGAGTACTTGAGTACTTTGGCACTTTTAATTTGAAACATTGTTGTAACCCTTGCCAATTAACTGGATATTTCTTGCATAAAACTATAATATCCATAGCGCGGTGGAGTATATTTACCTGAACATAGAATATATATCTGCCTCTGCTGTGCTGGCGGAATCATCGTATGAAAAGTCTGAGATTAATTTCTGTGCTCTGCAACCCCTGAAACATTTTTTTATATTGTACTAGTGTCCTATACTCCACTGTACCTCATAAATTTCACTAGAAGGGAATGATTAATTTATAAATATACTATTACATTGTAAAAATTAGATATATATACTATACTAGCTTAAACGCCTATTTTAGTTTATTGCGATGGACCATGCCTTTTTACCACGCAGAACTTTAATTTATACTGGTGTCCTATACTATTTAATTTACCTCATGAATTTCACTAGAAGGGAATGGTTAATTTGGTTTACTGTCTCATTCTGCCTTATTTATGCATTATGTGTACTTACAACTTGCTCTAACTGTTTAAAGTCCGTTATATACTTGAAATGAAGCAGAGTCTACTGTGATTATGTATCTTAGGAAGTGTAATTTTCTGTAAAGTACAGTGTACTTTACTGCATTGTAATGTATTTAACAGTACTATGCTGTACAGTTTAGATATCTGTACTGTTATGTACTGTGTACTAATCTGACCTGTCGTCTACGAGTTGTACGAAAGTATCAGAATCATCAAATGCAAAACACTTCTTCACAAGAATTCCAAACTCCGGGTCAGGATTCAAAACCTAGAAAAAAATATATTTTTCAGTTGGCAAATTTCCCAGTGAGTTATTTATGAAAGAAACAATTTTTTCCCCGGGTTGCCAGCTTTATACCCTCAAAAAAATTCATTTTTTATATATAACAATATATATAGCTTTTTCAAATAAACGCTGTACTTACACCCTTACGTACATATTTATTGCGTACTAATCTATAACAGTGTACGGTTTTCTAATAGACCTGTACAGGATACAGAGTACTAATGTACTTGAACAATGTAGAATGTACTAATCCACCCGTACATTGTACAGTGCACTAATTCACCTGTACAGTTTACTAATAAACCTGTATAGTGTACAGTGTACTACCTGTACTTGAAGCTTGTACTGACTACCCTCTAAAACAGCGTTCAGCTTTTGTCTACCATCACTTATCTAAAAATTGGAATTTAAAAGATTTTAAAATATTTTGAAAAAAAAATCATTTTTAGTCTTTGGATTCCCTAAAATAATTTCAGCCAATTTGGTTCAGCCGTTTGGCCAGCTTTAGCTAACACATAAATACATATATATATTAGCGAAGAGCTTTATTTTTTAGATAATTTCCGCAGAATAGAATTTCATTATAAGAACCGATAACTTTCGGCATAACAGATAGAGCTAAGCTCGTTTCTTAATTAAAAAAGTTTGTTTTATGACAAAGTTCGGAAATAATTCCAACGAGAGCCCCAAAAATGTTTAACTACTACCAATGTAATTAGTAAAGCAGAAAGGATTATTGATTTAAAGGATTTAGTGACCTAAGCTCCTTTATTCAAAAGTTTTACTTTTATCACTTTAAGTGTTTTAGGTTAGCTATATCTTATTCAAAAGATCCCAACTGTCTTAAAATATAAGAATTGTTTTACCTTAAGATGAACGACACTAATTTCCTTTCTACTGTTCTGGAAACCAGCCTTACCACATGTCACAATATACAGTCTATCCTCTAAATAATAATATAGATAA